TGAATTTCACTGACATAACTAAGTTTATATTTGTACGTATGTATGTATTAATTAAATTTAATTAAATCAAGACCAAAATAGGTGATAATCATAAAAATTTTAGCCCTTTGTAGCCCAACTCAACTCCTCCTTCAATAATCGAGCCCACTCCTTAGCCCGCCACATCATATTCGGCCCAAACTATTTAACTCAAACCCAAACAGCCAAACTCAAACTCTTAAACTCATTCCTAACCCATTAATTGTTTGTTAGGTGGTTTAGAGTTGCAACATGTTTAGCTCTTGACGGACATATTTATAGAGAGTTTTTCTTTTGTTTTTTTAGAGTTAGTTTTCAGTGTTTCTAATAAATATTGAGAGATTAGTTTCTAAAGAAAAGAGAGGCAGAGGGAGAGGGAAAGGGAAAGGTAATTCGTAGTTTAAAGGAGAATTATACTCTTTTATCGAGTAGTTTTTAAAATTTTTTACTATTTATTATTTTTTAAAAAAAAAATCATATTCTTTTAATATAATATTAAATTTTAACTTACGTTAAAAATATTATATTAATACTTATTCATATAGTATAAATTAAAAAATTCAAAATTTTTAATATTAAAAACTAAATTCCCAAGTTCCAAACACCAAACAAATTAACACACCCTAACTAAATAAACAACCCAAACAAACCCTGTGATTTGCTTGTGTTTTAATTATTGAAGGTACTCGAATTTTATAAATTAATTGTTATTGAAAGAAATAAAATACTATAATATAGAATATTGTAACAAAATATGATAAGAAATATTATATTAGTTGTATAACAAATATTTTTGTAAATAATTGTGATTTATTTTCCTAAAAATAAATCCTTAAGTTCAGGCTAGATTTTTGTAATTAATATTATTATTTTAGAAAAGAATAAACTGTAAATGATTAGCAAAAATATATCATCGTTATCGTACTATTTACATCATTTTTGGATATTTTTCATTGTTCATGTGTAATCTTAAACTATAAACTATTTTAATGCTTTGCAGAGAGCTTATGTTCTTGTTGTCAATATCATATTACTTTCGATGTAAAAATTTCGATTAAAATTTAATATATCAAATTTCCATCATTTAGGGTCATTCTTATTGTCAAATATAACATCCACAATTAATGTTATTAATTTCTTTAATTAAAAAGTTATAATAATAATTTTAATACAATGTCCATATCATTATAAGCCACGAGATTATAAAATAAAATGATCTAACAAATGAGATTAATTAATTTAGCATGATGTTGAACTTAATGTATGCTAGCTTTATATCATCGACCCAAATATTTATAATAGCGATAAATTTTACAGTTAAATCAATTCATTTAAAAATAAATTGCAATAAGCCAAATTTAAACAAGTTTGTTAGAATAATCTTTTAAAGTTAGCAAGACATTCGTCAAAATCATTTTATTTTTTTTTTAAATACATATAAATTAATTAATATAATATGCACACACGCATTAATTAGGTACAGCCCATATATTATGAGGGGCTGTCTGTTGGTCATGAATGTTTACAAGGGGTTCGAGCAATTAATTTAATTTACATTAATTATTTAGTTTATCCTTTGGGCATTTTTTTTTTTTTTTTAATTTTGTTGGTACATATATAAATAACATATCTAACAAACAAAAAAATAATTTAATTTGGACACCTATATATATTTATTATTTATATATAATTAGTAACTCAACTCAGATTCAAATTGATTGAATCTGCCTGCATATATATATATATATATATATGTATACGTCGGTTGTGTATGTATTTACTCTTAAAATAAAATTTGGCGAGGGACATATGTCGTCGACAAATTAATGACACAATACTATTGTGTCTTTTTTTATTTATTTATATATATATATATATATATATTCAAATAAGACAAATATGTTGCTTTGACTTCCAAAATGCTTTTCTTTTAAATATATTTTCCAATATAATAACTATAGCTAACAAAAATTGATCCGACACGACAATTCGATACGAAATAATTGGATTTGGGTCAAATATTTCAACCCGATTATATATGGGTTGACACGAACCCGACACGATAATCCGATTATAATATATTAATATTGATTAATATATTTATTATATATAAAATAATCATAATTTAATAATTATAAATTAATTTAAACTAAGTTCAATTTTAAATAATTCAATCTAATTTACGTTCAAACCAATAAAAACTAACATAACATGACAACATAACAAAAAAATTATTTAATTTGAATCAAGAAATTCGACTTAATTATGTATACGGGTCAACACGAGTCAACCCGAATCCGACACGATAATAAACAGGTCGAGTTAGGATTGAGTAATTTAACCCGTTTAAAGTATTCAATCCGACACGAATCGACCAATTGTCAGCTCTAAATAACACTATAATTTTCTAATTATTTTATTATATAATAATTATGATTTTCTATAAAAATACTTTAAGATAGATGGTTCTAATTTATAGTATGGGGAATCTTTAAACAATATCTTTTTTTAAGAAATAAAAGAATTTTATATGTAAAAATAATTGCATTGAATAAAAGCATATGAATATACTTTTTTTCCTTGTAGTTGTTTTTAAGAAGTTTATTGAGTAATATTATTATAAATATATTAAATTGTAAAAGTATTGTTGTAGAAAATAGATTAAGGGTGTGTTCGTTTGATGGATTTGGATAAAATTTCACTATTCATCCAAAATTTTTCCCCCAAAAACATCAAATCAAACATATATTTTTCATTTTTTATATTATACTAAAAATCAATTTTACATTCAAAACATCGCATCATCACCTATTTATATCACATCATACAACTATTCAAATTCAAAATTTTTACTATTCAAATCCCAATTCAAAATCCAAACCTCCAAACAAACACACCCTAAATAAATGTTTTTATGATGGACAACTAAATAAAGTAAAATACTTCATTTCTTCGTCCACATAAAATGTTCATTTTTTTTATTTTTGTCTATTTCATATAATGTTATTATTTTAAAATATAATTATACACTTTAATTATATTTTAAATTTTATAATTTTTAATTTTTAATTTTTTAATCTTAATCATATTTATAATTTATAATCATATTTTTTTATAATTATATACTCCCTCCGTCCCATAACAAAGGATCCATTTTATCATTTTAGTGTACTATCTACTTTACATTACAAATACCCTTACAACTTACAATATATTAAACAAATATCATTACATTTATATCACATATACTAATAAGGTTATTTTAGTCATTTCTACTTTATTTCTACTATATCCCAATATAATACTAATATTTCTAAAACTACATGCAAAAAGGAAATGGATATTTAGTTTTGGACGGACGGAGGGAGTATATATAATTGTGTTCATCCTATGATTATGAATACGACACTAACCATAAGCATCAGCCACCTACCATTAGTAATAAAAAATATTCTATTATCTAAAAAATTGTATAAGAATTTATTATAGTAGCATTTTTTTACCCCTAAAAAATATTAAATAGTTTATTATCATCATTTTCAACACACTAAAGAATAATACAAAACAAACACGGCTCTATTAGTCTATGTCAATCTTCAAACAACCCGTAAAAATTATTTCTTTGGTTGGGGGTTTTCCCAATACTTTTGCTATATATCAATTATTTTCTTTTTTCCAAAAATATTGAATTAATTTCTTATTTTTTATTTTTATATTTAAAATATTATATTAATATAAATTTATACTCTATTAAAAAAAATAAGAGTAAGCGGAATATGTAAAATTCGAAAATTTGATTCGGATTGAATAGTTTATAAATTTTAAAATTTAAAATCCAATATTAAATATTCGAACCAATTCGAAATCTGAAATATAATATTTTAATATATTTTATTATTATATATAATATAATAAAAATAAAAATTTAAAATTATTAATTATATTTTAATACACTTATTTTTATTTGTTATATATATTTAATATTATTAAAAAAATTATGAAAATTAAAATAAAAAAAAAGAGAGAGAATTTCAAAATTTTAAAGTTGGATTCAAATTTTTTAATTCGAATTTCAGATCAGTTTAAATTGATTTTTTCAAAAAATTCGAACATATATATTGATTTGAATTTGACAAAATATGAATATTTAACCCTATTAAAAAATATATATATATTTAAATTAAGCATATTTATTATTCCCTCCGTTCTAATACCCAAAAATAATAGTTTTATTTTTATAAATAATCATATCACCTTAAAATTACCCTTATCTTTTTTTTTTTTTTTTTACGAGGCGGAGGGACTATTTAAAATTCAAATAAAAAAATTCAACTGAGACCAAACACACCCAAATATAACCCCCCCAGTTCCCTTTAATTTGGCCCTCATTATAAAATGATTGATAGATAACCGACTGCATTATATTAATGTTTTTTTTTTTTTTTCGAAAAAGAAAAATGATATAAATATAATTATACTTGAATGTTTGAAATCTTGGACAGCTATCCAGATAATGTCTTATTAATATTCAAAGGAGTTATTTTACAGTATCCATTTTTGTACACTTGCAACTCGACACAAATCTTTAAACCCACACCCACATATACATTTTTTGTTATCACACATCTATCCATCTGTATTTTAATTCAAAACCATTTTTTTCTTATTTTGTTCAAAACCATATTTTTAATCAAAAGCAGGCAAGAAGAGACTAGTCCACAAAGCCTGACATGGAGATGGAGCATTACTCATCTGTTTCCTTTCTTTAATTTATAATCACTTCTTTATAGATATATATATGTATGTATGTACTTATAATTTATCCTCTTTTTGTTCTTCCCTACATGGCAAGTCGCGTAAAAAGTGGTCCAACTTTAGGTCCCATCACTGCACTATTACAGTTACATATTTACATAATGCTGATGTGAATTATCCATTTAAATTTCAGTTTTACAAGAAATAATTTTTGAAGTAAACCTAACCGTAAGAATTCTCTCAGCTCCATCAAATTACAGGCTGTTCTTCGCTATTTGATGGCAAAAGGAAGGAACTTGCTTACAAGTCTGGAATTCTGTTTGATGATTTTTTCTGGCTCACAAGTCATCTTCACAAGAAAGGGGAAGAGAATTAATCAATTGAAAATTAGACAAGGGCAGACAGAGGGGTGCCTGCCATCCACCCAACCCATCTCGTACATGCTTCGATTTTACTACTGTAGTGTGAGAATTGTTATCAGGGCCTTTTCTCATTACCTACCATTGATAACTGCACTCTTCCTTTCCCCCCCATTTTCTCTCCCCTCGAAATTATTGTATTGTTTATATATACCCAACAAATTCATCAGAAGCCCTTTACCTGAAGCCACAATTAATTTATCGCGTTTCTGTGTGTCTCTCTATGTATTGTCCGTGCAGATACAGTGACCCTATTGTCGTCATCGTCTGGGCTCGGAAGAAGCCCGCATTTGGTAATGCGGTGTAGTGTTTGGAGGGGAATTCGTCAGATTTGGAGGTTGGGAGTGAGGATTTGGGATTGCGGGAGCTCTTTGCAGGTAATTTAGGGTTTTCTTTTGAAAGGGGGATCTGTTGCTGGACGCAATTTTATCTGTTGGAATGGGGATTTTGAGTTCGAGATCTGGCAACTGAGGGTGAATACTGTGTTGTCTGATTCAATTAAAGGTCAGAGTAGAAAGATTTTTGAGATCTTTTTATGAATTAGGCACAATGATGTCGAGAATCATGTCTGTCGATGGATTTACTGTTCATACTGTGTTGTTGATCTACTTAGCAATCATTCTGTTCGCCGTTGCTTAGTTTATTGTTTTTGTTGCAGCTCTAAGCTGATTAGGAAGTACATTTTGATCCCTGTTCTTTTGCTCGAAATGAATGGTTTATCGATTGAATTTGTCCGAGGAAGGGATTGAGAGTAATGAACTGCTGCTTACGGGATCATGTCTGAGCGTCGGTTGAAGTATTTATCGTGATACAAACATTATGTGAAAGAAGTGCCATTGTTATACCCTTTTACTTCGATAGGTTTGAGCTGTCGATCGATTCGATGTGTTCATTGTGCTAAAAACATTATGTGGAAGAAGGGTGTCATCCTACATACCATTTTATGTTGCTGAGTATGTCATCGATTTGTTTTGTCAGAATAAACATAATTTGCTCATTATACGTACCTTTTACATGGTCGAGTTTGCTCATCAGTTAATATATGTCCACCTTGTTAGAACATTATGTGAAAGAACTGTCGTCGTATAGTACCCTTTTATTGGTTTCGGTTTGAATGTAACATTATGCAAAAGTGCCCTTCGTATATATGTTTTCATGTGGTTGGATTTGATTGTTGGTTCGATGTGTTTAAAAATTGTGAAACGAATGGTCGGATGTGAGCATTAATAAATCCGTCGCCCTTTTGTTAAAAAATTAGTACACATTTTGCCGCAAGTATAAGTTGAATAAACACTTTGCTTGAAAGCATAAACTTGTCGTTTAGTGCTAATCATGTGAATTAGTGTTATACAAACTCTATTGTTCGTATGATATCTTCATCGTATTACCTTTTTTATGTGAAATAATTGTGCCGTTGATCAGCATGTTCTGTTTCTATCAAACAGGTTGCGTCGACAGTTTAAAGGAATGGCTTCTGATCTCAATGCCGGACTATCACAGAATGCCGGCGTTCTGGGCCTCAAAGTTTGGGAAATCATTGGAATAATCGTCGGTATATTGATTGTGGTTATCCTCTTCGCGCTAACCTTCTATTTAACTTCGCGGAAGAAATTAAGAAGGGCGCAAGAAAAGCTTCCCGTTAGCCAAATCCCCACCATATCCAAGGAAATAAAAGAAGTAAGAGTAGAGCATGTGTCGACAAATGAATTTGTCCCGCGCGACGGGATTCTTCTCACAATTCACGACAAATCGAGCGACAAGGAATCCGACAAAGTTCTGGTCCATTTGGAAATGCCCAAAGCCAAGAATGCAGACAACAGCAGCCAATCAGGCTCGTTCCATCACGTCGACTGCGGATCGCAATCAGGCGAAGAGGGCAGCTCGGGAACTTTCATGGGCTGCAAGCCGTCCTCGTCATCTCATCCAATAACGGCTCCTTCTCCCTTGACCGGACTGCCCGAGTTTTCTCACTTGGGCTGGGGCCATTGGTTTACTTTACGAGACCTCGAACTTGCGACCAACAGATTTTCGAAGGAGAATGTTATCGGGGAAGGCGGTTATGGCGTTGTTTACCGAGGGCAGCTTATCAATGGAACTCCCGTTGCCGTTAAGAAGCTCCTCAACAATCTGTGAGTCGCTAACATTACTTCTTGCGATCTAATGAATTTTCGCTTTTTTCTGGTCGAATTCCTTAAGTAATAAAATTTTTCCGAAACAGAGGTCAAGCAGAGAAAGAATTCCGAGTGGAGGTCGAGGCAATTGGCCATGTCAGGCACAAGAACTTGGTCCGACTTTTGGGATATTGTATTGAAGGAACTCATAGGTACATCTCAATATCGATTTAAGATAATGTCGAATGATAATCATAGTATTTGTTTTAACAAGATTGTCTGAGTCGTCTCAGGATGCTCGTCTATGAATACGTCAACAATGGGAATCTAGAGCAGTGGCTTCACGGGGCAATGCGTCAGCACGGTTTTCTTACATGGGAAGCCCGAATGAAGGTTCTCCTCGGCACGGCTAGAGCGTAAGCTCTTCATTTAACCAATTATTTTCTCTGTCCGTTTCGATATTAGTTAAATCAATAATTTGGCAATTGTTACGACAGCCTCGCATATCTGCACGAGGCAATCGAACCGAAAGTGGTCCACAGAGACATAAAATCGAGCAACATACTGATTGACGACGAATTCAACGCTAAAGTCTCAGATTTCGGTCTGGCTAAGCTGCTCGGCGCCGGAAAAAGCCACATCACTACTCGGGTCATGGGTACCTTCGGGTTAGTTTCCGATTCTGTTTTCAAGTGTTGTGAATATGAAATCTTTGTTCATCGATCGAAATAATAAAACAGATATGTGGCTCCCGAATATGCAAACACGGGACTTTTAAATGAAAAGAGCGACGTCTATAGCTTCGGGGTTTTGCTATTGGAAGCAATTACGGGGAGGGATCCGGTCGACTATGGACGACCCGCACCTGAGGTACTAACTCCATCCACGAACTCTTGTCGATATTTCGACACAATTTGAATTATAAAAGGAAATATTTCTCGGTAGGTTAATCTGGTGGACTGGCTGAAAATGATGGTCGGGAGCAGGCGATCGGATGAGGTTGTGGATCCAAATATCGATACGAGACCATCGACACGAGCCCTCAAAAGAGCTCTTCTTACTGCTTTGAGATGCGTCGATCCTGACTCGGACAAAAGACCCCGGATGAGCCAAGTTGTTCGGATGCTCGAGTCGGAAGAATATCCTATACCGAGAGAGGTATGAATGACCGACTTCTTTCCTTTTGCATCGCTCGTTACGAACTTTTTGCACTAAAGATAGAATGAGATGGAAAAATGAAAATCTTGTTTTAGGTTTGAATTGTTAGTGTAATGTTGTGCAGGATCGGAGGCAGCGAAGGACCCGAGCGAGCAGCATTGAGATCGAGTGCCAACGCGATAACTACGACACGGATAAAAGCGACGGTCAGGATTTAACGTCGGAGAGTAAAAGGAAGTCTTGATAACATGTGAAAATTATTTTGAAGGAGAAGGGATGAAGAAGGGATTTGGGGGCATTGCTGAAGCCTCCAGTAGTAGAGACATATGTATGTAGCTGGTAGATTTTTATTTTTATTTTTTTCTAAATTTAATTTTCTGACGAGTATCTTCTTCTCCATATATATCTGGTCTGGTTTGGTGTGTTTAATTCTTGTGAACGAATATAGGTAGATGATTGGTTGTGTTTATGGAAATAGTGTACGTTATATATGTGGATGGATCCTGACATTTTTATTTTATTTTTTATTTTTTATTTTCTTGGGCAGATACATTTTGGGTGTGTTTTTGTGAGGTTTTTAATTTTGGATTTTGATTTTGAATTGAAATAGTTGGTTGACGTGATGTGATGTGATGTTTTGAATGTAAAATTAAATTTTAGTGTAATAAAATAAATAAAAATTGGATTTTTGATTTGATATTTTTTGAGAAAAAAATAAAAATTAAAATAGTAAAATCAGCTGGAAAATCCGACTGACAAGTATACACACCCTTTGTTCTTTGTACGTAGAGTTGGACAAGCTAAAATAAAAATTCGGACAACTGGTTTAAACCTGACAAAACTGATTAGCGAACTGGATTAACCTACCATGATCATAACCAGCGGACTGTTTGCGGATCAATATTAAAATTTAAAAAATAAAAAATAAGAATAAAATAAATATCATGTTGGTGTATTTAAAAATTTTAATAATAAAAAAATTATTTTTAAACCATCATAATGAATTTTAGGAGTCTATAAAATTATAAAATAGTAAAAGGAAAGACAAATAAAATAAATAATAAAAAATCGAAATAAACATTGACAAGAGAGTTAAAAGAAGAAGAATACCGACCTAAACAATATTGGTTAATTGGTTTAAATTGATGATAATATAATTTTTTCAGTCCAATTAAAAATATCTTTTTTTAAAAAAAATATATATTAAGAAATAATAATATATTATTTATTAAAGAACGTATAAAATGATTTTGATATTTTTTTACCTATCTATAAATTACTTGTATATATAATGGTATATTTATAATTTATGCAAAAACAAAAAATATTTTGGCATAATATTTTATTACTTTTATTATAATAGAAAATTAATATTTTTTATTGTGACAAATGAAAATGATAAAAATAAATACATTTAATTGAGACTAGATACTACTATTTATTATGTTTGTCTGGTCACAGGCTAACCCACTTCTAACTCACGGCCCGCTTAGATTAAACTCGCTTATGTTTATATTTTAACATAGCTTCAAAAGTTAGAATCCAATCTCCTATAAGTGAGGTGGATTGTCAATCCAACGGATTTATCCTATATTGATGGCTCTAATTTGATTTATATTTTATAATATTTTGTAAATAAAATTTTATATAAATTAGAGCTGTTGAATGAATCGAGCCCTTCGTGAATTCAGTTCGATTCGGCTCGATTAAAGTTCGTTCGCGAATGTTAACGAGCCAAGCCGAACAACATAAACAAACTCGTTTGGTTAACGAACGAGTTCGAGCTTTGTTCGCGAACGTTCGTTTAAATAATATATTTATTATAAATATTATATATACATATAAAATTATAATTTATATATAAATAAAATAATTTAAAATTTTCTTTATAATTTATATATAAATTTAAAAAAATAAGACAAACAAGCTCGAACGAGCTTAATCGAGCCTAAATGAACCGAACACGAACACGAGCTCAAACAACAAAAATTCTTAACGAGCTCGAAAGCTTAACGAACGAGCCCGAGCCTTGTTCGCGAACATTAACGAACACTTAAAATTTGGCTCGATTCGACTCGGATCGTTAACAGCTCTAATATAAATTAAGATTTAAATTCAAATTAAAAATCTAACACAAACTAAATACGTGTGTATTATTTTGTTTTGGTTTTAGTTGAATTTTAACTTTTAATTTCTCTGTATTTCTAAATATTTCACATTAGTATTTTATTTTTCATTAAAAAAAAACACATTAATAGTAAGTATTAACAAAAATAATAATATTTGAGAATTGTAAAGCTTTGAAGCTCTCTGAAAATGATAGAACAAAAGGCCAAAATAATACACATGGAACTAGAGATTAAAAAGAAGGCTGTTTTAGGTGGAGCTAGAGATTGACATTGGACAAACACGAGTCCAATCAAGTGTCGAAACAAGAGTGGAGGATCATGATGATATTTATATAAGGAATATGTCATGTCATGTCATGTCATCATCAACATAAACTCTCTTCTTATAACAAATGCAAAGTCGCCTGAGTGAAAGGAGACTACTTATGGGCCAAAAAAACACCACCATAAAGCTCAGCCAGCAATTATCATTATGGAAACTCTCTTCTCTCTCTCTCTCTCTCTCTCTCTACCACAACTCTCAAGTAAGTGACAACACTATTTCTTATTTACCCTTTCTCCCTCTCTTTTTCGTTTCTGTTTTTACCTTTCTTCCATAGACGCAGGCTGATCGATGATGATGTATTCATGTGTTCCCTCTCAGGCAGGCCACTAAGTCACCTTCCTTCCTTGCTAACTGTCTCCTAGATCGCCAAACAGAAGCATCGACGAGCTCATGTGTTCCCTCTCACCCATACGTCTACTGGTTTTCGGAGCAGCTTCTGCGCTGAGTTCCTTTTCTGGAAACGGGAAGGAGAGGGAAAGGGAAAGTGTCGCAGATACATCATCTTCTGCCTTGGGGACCGTCTCTTTAAGTATATGTTCCTCATTCACTTTCGGGTGTACTTTATCAACCAGCAAGGGTTGGATATCCAGACCTCTCACGCATTTTTCACCCCCTAATGCAAGTTCAAGATTCGGTGCCCTATCACTAAGCTGGTCTTGCTCCGGCAGCTGCAATTTCCAGGGGATGGAGCTATCAGCCAAATGTCCACCCTTCTCAGGCTGCGACTCGATGGGGAAGAAGCGCCTTTCAGCATTGTCGTTGCACTCGCTAACTAAAGTATTGACATGAGCTTCTTCATGCAGATTTGCAGAAGCCAATGGATTCATCTGTGACACAAAACCATAGCCAAAATAACTTTTCTAGCATCACATGTATAAATCAGAAAAAAAGTCTCCCGCGTGTCTTTACCTTTTCATGTGCTCCGCTACTTCCGTGACTCCTCATTTCCAGCGGACCAATGGCGGTAAAGGAAGTTTGAGGGCCCACATATTGCTCAGAAGGCATGCCCTCCTTGTGGTTAAAACTCCATCTGTCAGGCTCCATGTTAAGGTCTCCGTTAAACCTCTCATTCTTCAATGGAAGTTTTCCATCCCTCAAAGGACCTCCAGAATCTACTAGTGTGTTCACTTGATTTCCAGCAGTTATTACATCCAACATAGGTCCTACAACTATGTTGCCCCCGACATTACCAGCTGCAACTTCCATCGAGCAAGGTGAAGTCTGTACTCTATCAAGGGGATTATCCAATTGCATCAGCATTTGCTCCCTTCCAGAACTTTTCGTAGCAGGGGAAGCACTGGAGCTGGGATTATCGCCTCCAACCTATGGTGTATAAAATACATTATAAACTATCAAAGTTCCATGCAAAACCGCATAATAACATTTTCATAAACATCAGCACAGCAGAATCTTGATAGATATTAAGCTCAAGAAGAATAACCCACAACTAGGAAAGAACAACAAGAACAATACAAAACAAGATTCAGCCAATCATGAAATCATCAAGCTGGGTCAAGTTGCAGAGGAAACCGCGGAAACATATAATATTTTACAGGAATATGCGTAGACTTTCATTGCATCTAAACCAAAACAAAACAAGAGTTATTGAATTTGATAACTGAATGTCAATAATATACCAATTAGACATTTACTGGAAATAGAGATGCCTCTATGCAGTAGTGTCCTGTGAAAAAGTATTAGTTATAAACCACCAACTGGGTGCCAGGCACAACTTAAAAAGCCATGCTTAATAATTCTATACTTAGAAAATTGTCAATTGAAGAGTGTGTACACATTTTAAAGCATAACCCAATCACTTCCAACAAATATTGTACTGAAAGCGCAAACATGTTCTTGTCATGCTTAGGAAAAAATATATTTCTTTAAAGGCTAGACCTGAAGACCATATCTTGCCCATATGTTGGGCTACATAACCAAAACCCCAAATTCTTGGGCGTGTCAAAAGCAATGTGATTGTACTCAATAATTGCAATAATCAGAAGGAGTAATACACAAGGAAGTTGGTGAAACTGTAGAATGTATACAAGAAACAAATAACAGAGTTAATTTTTAAAATGAGGATATCACTGACAAAACTGTAAGAGGAGTTATAGCTTTGAAAATCATAAAGTAGAAGAAGGCACTGTAGAAACCTGAATTTGAAAAAGTAAAGAAGAATGTATCAATCATCATAGTAATATTCTTTATATGTAACAGCTTCCAAACAAAAAAAGACAACCGTAATCAGAGGACCACCAAAAATGATTAAATGCTACCTTTTCTTCACCATATAGGCAACAAAGATTAAAGATGCATGATCTAGATCTTAAACATTGAATAACATGCTTATTTCAAACTAGCAATTAAATAACATAGGCAATATCATGCTTGTGCAGCAAAAAAAAAGGTTACCTGACAAAGACTCTTCATTTCTTTGCAATTATTTTCAGTACCACTCAGTGTTGCAGCTGGGGAACTAGAATTCACACTGCTATTTACCTGACCCAAAATAGATAGTTTTGCAACAAGATCTCCATTAACAGGTCTTGATGGCAATGCGTTTGGTAAGGTTTCTGAGGTAGGGGATCTGATCACTTGAACTACATCCCCAGTTGCAGGTAATTCCTCAGTAATCGGTCTTTGTGAGCATCTATTATCAGGCAAGGACATTACAGGTGGAGGAATATCTTGGGGAGCACCAATTTGTTTCAAGGATTCAGGCATGTGTTGCAGGCAGTTTGCTTTCTTGCCTCTAAAAACACCCCAAAGGAAGAATAACATATTCCACCCTGCAAGTAGATTACAACATAAATACATTCTATCCAATCTTGAGCTATTGAAAATACTAAGCATATGCAAGAAACAACTAGATACTATCATGCAAATAAAATATTTTAAAAAATAAATAAATAAAAGCAATCTATGGATGATAGAAATTCAACCATATAATTTAGCAAACAGATAAAATTGTATTTAATACTTAAGGAATTTCATTGTTGGTTAGCATAATAATCTCAGCTCCATGTGGTTCACATAATCACATCAGGCATATGCACAGACGCACACTAAGTTGTCTTCAAATAGAAACAACTTCAAATAAGATCATAAAACACTCATTAAAACAAAGCATTTTGATCATCAATAGCAAAAATTTTGGACTTCAACTTTCACATCTCATCAGAATTTATAGTAATGCATGCATTTAAAACTGAGTAAAAAAGAAAAAAGCATTTCTCAAGCATTGAAATAAAAAGGTAAAATTACAATCTACAAAATTTCCATTTTACTTACGCTGGGACTTGTGAGGAAGCTTATTGGAAGGAAATATCAGAAGCTCGAAATCATTTATACTTCCCTTGAGAGCAAGATCATTCTTCATCATATTATCCAGTAAAACTTTGAAAATTTTGTCATAGCTGTTCCATTAACAAGGCGGGAACTCTTAAAACAGATGAAAATCAGTATGTTTAAATTAAATGAATATGATCCAAATTACTAATGGAAGATAAAAATAAAATAAAAAATTCACCTCTCAACATCTCTAGCAAAAAAGAAAAGGGCTACACTATCTTCTGTGGCACCATGTTCCTTAAAATGTATTGGCCAGGTGCTTAGGCGAGGCACTTCGTAGAGTACTATTCTGTCTTTAAGCTTGTTTGCAGCCTCAATTACTTTAGGTGATGCACATGTCGATACATGAGCTTGAATTCCCTCCCATAAGTCAAATAATTTACTGCCACGATATATCTCAAAACATCCTCTGTACATAAGCCCCAGTATCAGTACAAATAAACTAGTGTAGCACCAAATCATGAGAAGGTAAAATTCAAATGCTATGATTAGAGAAAATAAGTACATACTGCCATATATATTCATGTTCAGGGACTGGTACGGATTTCAGAAGCAACGGAACTGCTGCTGAAACATTTCGGTTCATGCCCCCAGAGGACAGGCCAGAGATACCTTCTTGTCCTCCAGAACGTAGAGCACCCTCACCAGAAATTATTGTTGAATGCTTAACATTATTGGGAATTTCTTCTGCAAGGGAATCAGCATTTATGCCTCGAGATTCTGCGGGTTTATCAGGCAGATTTGTATCAGTGCATAACCTTTTCTTTCCAGCTAGAACTGATGCAGATGAATCATCAGGTTGACCCAATGTTCTATTCTTTCGATACACCCCTGGCTTTTTTAGTACAGCAGCTTCAATAGCTGCTTTAAGGTTAATTCCTCTTCCAGAGGATTCATTACCAACAAAAGGTGGTCTTTCAGCAGAAACAGAACTAGATACTTCTTCCTTCAGACTAGCCTGGTTTAATCTTTTCTCAATGTTATTAACTCCATTATTAGCTGAAGTAGCATGACTAGATGGCAACGGTCTTTTCGCTTCGCCTGCCCAGATAATGTTAGAATTTAGAGCAACATTTAAAAAAAAAGGATAAAAACTAATAAGTACAACAAACTAACTCAAACAACAATATGAAACTGTACCTAAAGAGCTGGATATATCTGAGGTCCTTCGACCTGCAAGACTGAATGATCTGGATAAAGCTGATTTGCCTTCACCTTGAGCAGGCTTCATTTCATGGTTGCTAGCAATGGTAGGAACAGAAGATTCTGTTCGAGACAGTGACCTTTTATCATTTCTTGAAGAAGGACTCAATGATGTACCCTTCATAAAAGTCATAGATGAATTCTCAGCTCTAGACAAGCGCTGATGTTCAAACGGAGTTTTCTGTTTCATAGTTTTAGTGTCCTGAGTGCTCTCAGACAATCTAGGAGACATCATCTTCATTTTTGTTTCAGTTTGGTTGGCATTTGTAGATTTAAATGACATAGATTTTCCCATTGGTCTGCCAACACTCTCCTTCGAACGAAATGAGCTATATTCCTTAGCAGATTTTTGCCTCCGGATAACGGCTTGATCTACAAGCTTGACCTTTGGTTTTGAGTTCAGAGAATTAAAGGAATTGGACTTTGAGAAGGTACCTGAAAATTTGATGAATTGTTAATAAGAACTATGCTTGTGGTGAAACCCAAGCCAGGACCAACAATCTGCAAATGTCCGGGGAGAGAAAAAATAAAAAATTAAAATGTGCAGGCAAATGCAATACCTCGAAAATTATGTGCTCGTAGATCTGAAGCAGAAATTGCTGGTTCTGTAGCATCATTAACTTGGACAGCACCTGAGGAAGAAAGATGCGAGGCTTGCAGCCTACCCTTAACTAAGTTCTTGGAAGAACTCTCACGAGAAAGAGAAGCAGCTGGTTTGCTAGAATTGGAGTTCTTTGGTGACCCAACTATTGAGTCAAGAGCAGGCTTCTTTGCCTTCGATGAAACCTCACCATCAGCCTCATCTCTCGGTCTTTTACAAGAAATTTTCATGTACCCTTTTGTATTATGTCCCTCAGCATCAGAACTATGAGGGTGCTCACTGCTGGCTAGACCAGAGGAGTTATTTTTCTCATTTTCATCAATCCTTCCAGCCTTTTCTCGCCTTCCAGTTGAAGCCCGCTCTACATTCTTGCATTCTTCACACAGCCATTCACCTTCAGGGACTTTAGACAACATTTCTCGCATACAGTAACTGGGAGAGAATGGATATGTTATTGTATTGTCTTTATAAATGCAGAGTACAACACTTCGTAAACGAATATTAAGGCTTACGTGTGTTCTGCCCCATCACTACATCGGTAACAGATGGCAAGCAAATCCTCTCGCCCTGCATCTCCACAGATATCACAAACTTTCACCTTTCAAAGCAGAGATGAAATTTAATCAGCCCTTAGTCACTGAAAAAAAAAAACACACACACACACTAGTGACATGGGATGAAATAACTTGTTTATAAACTCATGGTCACCAATAAACCGCATCAAAACGGAATGTTTTTAGAGTCATGGATGAAGTAGCCATAAACTGATTTAAGGACTATCATAAATACTTGGGTAAAATCCTATAATATGCCATTTAACTTCATAGATAGGTGAAACAATAGATTTAAACTATCAATGTATGCTGAAGTAGGCATAAAAACTGACTTTGAAGGAGAAATTAGCACTTAGAAGCAAAGAACAGGCTTATAAATGTAACTATTGTACAAAATTAAACTGGTGATTCTGCATTTGCTATTTAAATTTAAAAATACAAATTCATTCAGGATATTAAGAACAGAAATTGATTATCTATTTTCTTCATGACCCATGAGACGTAGCCACAAATCAAAACACTACGAGCCATTTGAAATATTTTCGCTGTAGAAATTTTTTTAAATATGCAATCTCTTTCTATGTAATAAATTTGGGAAAATAATTGTCAAAGCCTATGATAAAATGAATAAATCTATCATCAGCCACCAAAAAAAAATAAAGCCACATTCTTACATCTTGCTCCACCATATCAGAGTCATCACTCTCATTGACCGGAGGAACTTCCAACTCCATGCCATCATTTTTTTCATTGGAATTTAAGACTGTCTGAGGTGGGTCAGCACATGTCACACCTCCAGTGGGTGATGGAACTAAATCTTCAGTTGAGCCCTCCAGTTCATTCTTTGCCTTGCAAGGGGTATCATTGTTCACATCCATTAGCTTTTGGTTGGAACCTTGCAACGAAGTATTTTGAGCTTTAACTGAATCAGCAGTGTTGATGGTTTTTGAAATGGCTGAGTTCACCAATATAGAATTTTGTATATACAATTCAGCTTGCAAACTACTAGGTCGCCCTTTAGAACTTTCTCCACTAATGTTGTTCTCTGTATTGTTCTTTACTCTACTATCTTCGGTACTAGATTTCTGATTGGCATGTTCATCAGTTCTACTTGCACGAGAGAAGCAATCATCATTTGCCTCTGAAACGCTTTTATTTTTGGACTTTGATTGCACAGAAATATCATCTGATGCAGCTGCATCAGGTGCCATATAGGTGCCTCACCAACTGCAATTTCAGAGAAAGAATCAGAAGTCGAGTTAGTCCCCTCTACAGTGCTCAGGATACATGTCTGCCCACTTTCAACATGCTACATACATGTTTCTTCAGTAGGCTCATCATATGATTTCATTAGATCTTTATTCATATAAAAACAAGCTGAAAAGAACAGAAAATAAGTTTCATGACCCAGCAAACTTCATCCTATAATCAACCTTCTGGATTTTAATAGAGTAACTAAAGGCATCATTAGCAGGACTCTAACCAAAAATTTGTGCAGGTGTGTGTGTGCATGCAAGAGAGAGAGAGAGAGAGAGAGAGAACAAGGCATCAGATTGGGTAGTATCTAAAGATAGCAAGACCACAGATCTATGTTGACAATGCAATTAAAAAATTTTGAGAGAATATAACAATGTAAATATATATTGATTGCCCATTAATTACAGATTAATACCTATAGACTTGTAGTGCACATTGTGCACTTGCTCTCTAATAATTTTAACAAGTCCTCAAACAGGATAACTCACATAGTTGTTCCCAGACAACCAAATACAAAAATTTCAGATCCTTAACCTCTAAATCATCCATATAGTGCATAAATGATAAACTCATGCAGCAGCTTGATATCCATATAGTTTCTCTGGCCCAAATATACATAATGAAACCAAAACTAAGTTCACTTATTATTCATAAAATCAACTGAGTGGCACATCTCATGGTACAATATGTTGTAGATGTGCATACCTACATATTGCATAGTTCAAAAAAGAATTTTTTTCACCATTCTTCACCACATAGCTTGTCTGTATAACCTAAACCAACAGAACTCACACAACCTGATACAACTACCATACATGAACCCTACCAAGTAAGCATTATTCATATTTGATATTAAATTGAAATCATATCCAGTTTCACCCTGTGTGAATAGAGTAAGAAGAAGAACGTTTCACATCAGGCACAATTACCTGAAGCTAACTTAATTTCACTATTAATAAAATACTGAAACTCAAGAACTTGAATTGTAGCTGATTACGTTATTCTATTTTGGTTATCTAACTCAAATTACACTATCAAGGAAACCAAAAATAGAAAAGATATAAACCATCTCTATGACAACCAGGACTTGCTAAAGGTAATGGTAAAGGAAAATGAATTTGATTAACTAATGTTAAGGCATACATAAAAGTCTCAATTTAATGAACAAAGGAATGTCAAATATATATACATGTATAAACATATAGATACATAAGTCTGCATGCAGCTTCTCACCCCATTCAACCAATGGTATATAACACATAAGCCACTAACCCTAATGAATAATAGAAGGTACTGGACTAACAACAGACATATTGACACAGGTCTACTGATATGCCATAAAACTTCTATCATCATTACTGAAAAGGGCCTCTATGGTCCTTAGACAAATAAGAAGTTCACAAGTTCAAATGCACTACTACCTCCTCTCACAAAAAAATATATATAAATCCAGAGAATGATTCCTTAGACAAATAAGGAGTTCACCAGGTCAAATGCACTACTACCTCCTCTCACAAACAAATACAAATCCTCAAAATTGAACAAAGCCAACAAAAGTCTCAAAAACATAAGTCATCCAGTCGACACTTCGCATTGATGTCAAACATGTCAAAACACGACATTCATATTTGGAATATCTTGATTTGCAATGACTGATCACCTGAAGGAAAAGGTAACAAATGGGGCAGAAAAACCATAAAGCTTTCACATAAAATTTAAAATTTCAGGGCTTATCATTACAAAAACACTAAAGATGGTAGTATTCTTTATTTATTATTCCATTTGCCCTTTAATAATAACAGCTTAAAATCAAATCACGATCATTCCATTCATCAAGACTTAGAACAGCAATAAACACCGAAAAGACTAAATCCTTAGTATTGTTCCACTAAATCCCCAATTGGTTAAACAGAAAAACAACAGATTCAATCCGTGTAACGATTCAGGTCCCCTGTCCCTGAAGGAAGTTGCTTCTAGTAATATCCATATGCTATGCATTGATGAAAAAAAATTGGAGAAAGCAAACAAAAAAATACCTTGACATCAATCTCGCCAATTTGCTTCATCCACAGGCCCTTGCATCCTAGAATTTTCTCGATCGCGTTCGCCGGAGACAAAAGAAACCTCTCAAAACTGTAGGTTAGGGTTTGCCTTCAACGATTTCATCGCAAACAGTTTGGACGTAGAAAAAGAAATATTTTAAGAAAAATATAATTGTGGAAATTTTGTGACTTAACACAATAGAAATTGCAGAGAAAATAAATAAATTTAAATAATTTATATCTAGAAACATCCCCACGCCCACGCAATATATTTTCTATATATATATATATATATACATATATTACAAAGCTCAATTAATGTATTTAAAACGTCTGAATAAGTAAGGCTATGCGGCCCACTAATAACAAAATTATTTTTATAGTATTTTTTTATAAATAATTGTGGTTGTAAACATTGATTTTGGTATTTATAAATTTTATTTAATTTTAATAAATAATTAAATAATAATTTACATATAATATTTTGTGAAGAAATAATTATTTTATATGTATCAATTTTAAAAAACACGTTGATTCATTTTGTATTTTTTTATAAATATATTTTTTTATAGTAGGTAAGAGGAATTATACTGAAACTATTTTTTATATAAAATATTATTATACTACATTCGTCCAACTCTAACGCTTTTATTTAATTTTTTTTATGTTATCTTTAAATATTAATTATTATATAAAAATATAATATGAATTAAGAAAAATAGCAAAAATACTTTTACTAGTGTCTTATAATACTAATAGAAAAATATTTGTACAAAATATATTTTTAATGTTAAGTACAATTATACAAAATATAAATTTGACTTTTAGCAACGGACGAAAAGAATATTAAATTATTAATTTTTGTAAATAAAAGAAAATATTATATATATTATATTTTTTATAATTTTTATAACAGTCATCTCATCTAAAAATAAATCAGGTAAAATATTATTAAAAATATGGTATATTTATACAATATAGAATATACTCCATTCGTCCCGCAAAAAGGTTCTCATTGACTAATAAAAGTAAAAATTAATATAAAATACTTCATTCCTCATGCAAAAATGTTCTCATTGACTTTATACAATATTGATCTTTAAATATTAATTATTATATTTATACCTATATAATATAAAACAATAGAAAATGACAAAAATATGTTTATTAATAATACAATTATAATAATATTTTTAATGTTAAGGGAGTATTATTTTTATATCATTCATAGTTTAGGGTAAAATATGTTTTTGATCATTCTATTCACGTTTGTCAATTTTAATCTCTATAGTAGTAAAATGACTCTTTTAATATTTTATTCTTATTTGTGTCAATTTTTTTATTTTATTTTTAAAATAATAATTTTGATCTTTTATCAATTAATATAATTCAAATTTTATTCATAATTATTATTTTTCTAAAAGAACTAATAGATATACTTATTTTATTTATTGTCACACAAATATACTATCTTTAAAAATATATTTCATAAAAATTGATTTCTTTAGTACCTGTCAACAAAAACAATATATATATCACCACATTTGATATCATATTTTTCTCTTAAAAAAAAAAAAGAAAAAAAAAAGCTCTTTTATTTTTCATATGCAATTTAATTAAGACAAAAAACCTTGCAATTATGCTATTTAGACGAATTATTTTTAAATTTGATGTTTAAATTTGTTTTAAAACATTTATCTAAGAAAAATATTTGTTTGAAGATGTTTAAAAAATATATAAAAATTAATTTAAATTATAAATAAGAATAAAACTTTTGAAATCATACATGACCTCAGTCATAAAAAAATAAGTACAAATTTTTCGACACAAATTTTAATATGTTGTTTTTTTTCTTTTTTTCTTTTTTTTTTTTTACATTTTATCTTTTATAGTAAATATATATATGATTTCTAATTAAAAATAAAATAATTATATTTTTAGATGTAAAAAATAATGATCATATTTTTAATTCGCTAAGGGGGTAATAATTATATTTATTATTTTTTAAAAGAAATATTAATTAATAACTGAAATTGAACCATTTAAATAAATAAAGGGCCAAAATTATCATTATAAAAATAACTGGATTAAAATTCACACATTAGTAAATAAAAAAAATAATCAAAAATATATTTTATCTCATATTTTACTTCATTCGTTTCAATTCACAATATTATTTTTATCATTACTTCTCACTTTAAATATTAATTTTCCATTTTAAAAAAATTAATAATACACTAATATTAAAATACTCTTAATTTTTACTTAAATTATCAATATATCATTATACGTAATTACTTTATACATAAAATAAAATAACAAAAATATCAAAAATTCTTATACATTTTCACTAACTAATAAAATATTATTGTATTTTAATTTAATTAAAATACCAAAATGCCCAGTTGAATTGGGACAGAGAAGTATCATACTTCACATTTAAAAAAAAGAAAAAATTCAAGTAAGTGTGTTTGTGAGGTTTTGAGGTGATTTTATTATTTCAAAAAAATCTCTCCCCAAATAGCTAATTAAATATAATTATAAATTAAAATTAAAATTAAAATAATTATTTAATTTAATTAAATTTGATAAATTATAAAATTTTAAATATAATTAAAATATATAATTGTTCTTAAATAAATAAAAAAATGACATAAGAGGTAAGACAAATAAAAAATATAATATGAATAATGATACATTATGTTTGGTTCAAATGAGGGGAGGGGAGGGGAGGGGAGGGATTTTAATAGAAGGGAGAGGAAAAAATATTAAAATTATAATAGTGTGTTTGGTTTATATGGAAGGGAAGGATGACGAGACGAGGGAAAATAGTATTTTTGTGTTTGGTTAAGCAGGGGATTGAAGAGAAAATATAATAATTTATTTTTTTACCTTTGTGATATATAAATAAAGTAAAATAAAAGTATTTAATAAAATTCAATTAATTTATTTATAAAATATGATACAAAATTTATTTGTCTAATATAATAAAATCAATAATTACATTATTACGTCTCAAAAGAATCAAATACTTTATACATTAGTTATTTATCAAAATTACCAATAAAGATAAACAATAGTTTTACGTATAAATAATAAAACTATAACAAAAATTATATAAACTAAATATATTATAAAAATATTTTATATTTATAATTTATAATTTTTTAATATTAATTAAACAATTTAGTTATCTTAATTTTAATTTATAATTATTTTTACTAATACACTTCTTAATTATTTACTATTTATATTTTACTTAATTCTAGTATATACAATAATATGCTCATATTACATGAGACAAAAGAAATAAAATATTAGTATTATAGATATAATTATATGATAATTTGTAATTTATTAAAAAATTATTATAATTAAACTTGATGAAAAAACTTAGTTAAAACTATTTTAAAATATATAATATAATTTTAATATATATTAATATTTATTTGATATAATTAAAAATAAAAGAAATAAATACTCCCTCAATCCCACAGCAAGGTTGCCATTTGGTTTTTAAGTTATTATAGTTGACATTTAAAATATCATTATATTTGAATAATTTACTCTAAAAATATTATTGTATTGATATCATAAGATACTAATAAACATATTCTTGTCTTTTTTTTTTTTCTCGATTTGTATTACGTCTTTATATAATAATTAATATTCAAAGATTAATATGCAAAAAGTCAATGACAACCTTGCAGCCGGACAGATGAAGTATTAAATATTTTTAAAAATATTATAAAATTTCTAATAAAATATGTAAATGGTACAATAGGTAATTAAATAATTTTTTTTTTTCGATAAAATCCCTCCCCTCCAAATTCCACCAAATTGGAGGAGAAAAAAAAATTAGAAGAAATTGACTCTCCTACCCTCCGTTCTCCTCCCATCCCTTCTAAAAAATTTGAACTAAACACAAAAAATTTTACAATTTCCTCCCCCCCTCCCCCGCCCCTCCTACACCCTCGAACCAAACAGACCCATAATGAATTAGTTATGACTTTACAGGTTGGGTTGATGAGTTGATGTTTTTCTTGCATGCTTTAGTAAATTAAGTGTTGCTTTGCAGAAAGAGCGAGAGGGTGGCTACATCTTTATTATTCTCAAAGTTAAAGTACTTGGGACTATTTATCATTTTTTTTTTTTTCTTCAAAATTATTAATATATATATATGTATGTATAATTTGGATGTATGTTGAATACGTTGGTTGCAGCAGAGCGTGTGTACGTAGAAATTAAAGGCGGCTAGCAGCTGTAGCTGTAGTTATAGTTGTAGCTGGTGATGGTGAGGTCAACAATTAATCATAAACATTGGATATGGGATATGATGTATTTATATTGGAAAAAGCAGCCGCTGCTTAAGCACGAATATTCGAAATAAATATAGTGCTAAATTCAAATTTTAGTATTGTGTTATTGTGCTGAATAATATATTATGTGCTATTAGATAACACATTATATTATTATAAATAGCATATGTTAATATAATACAAATACAGCACATGAACAAAAATACATATGTTATAATATTAATAATACACAGTATTATTACAAACAACACATTGTATACGTTAATATAAGACAAATACAACACATGAACTAACATCACATGTTGTAGTCTCATACAACACACAACAATCGATTTTAGCATATAAGATACTTGAATACAACACATTTGTTATTTGTTGGAGTGCAAACCCGAGCCCCATATTGAAAATTGTAAAGAAAATTCAACATCTTATAAATCCTAAATCAACTCCACTTTGAAGAATATCCAAAAACAAATCCGTGCGAATTCAGCTCAAAACGGATAATATCATGCTAGTGTTGAGTTGACTCAATCTCAACAGTGGTATCAGAGTTCGGTTAGATGGTGGCAGTGGACTCGCCCTCGTACCGAAAGTCTCCGGTCTCTGTGGCCAGACAATGGATCCTTTGTAATAGCTATACAAGGTGCACAAAACAGGAAGGTCCAGCGAAACAGTACCCATCCCTCCTTACTCATATATAAATACGAATATGGTGTATTTATATTGGAAAAAGCAGCAGCGACCACCAACATTTTCCCATCCCATAATAATTACTACTACTGCTACTGCTACTTTACTGTGCATCTCAATGGACACCGCACCACCATCATCACATTTCAATAATCTTACACTTTCTTTCTTTCTTTTAATAATAATAATAATAATAATAATAATAATGTGCTTTGGTCTCGTGATCATAATCAATAATAAAATATGCATACACGGCTGGCATTAGTAGGAATTGGGAAGCAATGAAAAAGATACAAATAAAGCAGGCACCCTATTCCTCCAGATACATCCCTTTCTCTTTTACTTCCAAAATAACACTAAATAATTAATTAAAATAAATAATGGTTCCCAACAGGCAGGCACCGCTTTTTACTCACTGCTCCGCTTGGTCGACGAGTGTGTGTTTGTCTTTGTCCCCACCGCCATTCATATTTCATTTTAAATTAATTTTTAATTTTACATTTGCCTTTCCGATCGAGGGTTTATTTATATCTACCCGTCCACCATTACCATCTCCTCTCCTCCCCTCTGTCTGTCTGCCATGGCGACGGCCGGAAACCACCCTCTCCTCCTCCACTCATTCTTCCTTTTCGTCTCCATTCTCGGAGCTACTGCTTCGCTAGAGCTCCAAAACTTTGTTCTCACCACCCTCCCGCAAAATCAATCTCGACCACTTTCCACCACCTCCTCCTCCGACGAACAACAGCCTCTATTTCAGTCGCCACCGGACTCTCAGTTCGACACTCTCTCTCTCGATCTGCACCATGTGGACAACTTATTTGCCGAAGCTCTTTCCTCTTCTTCTACCCCTACTCCTGAGTCGCTCTTCGAGATCCGCCTCCTCCGCGACGCCGCCAGAGTGGAAGCTCTGTCCTCCCTCGCCGCCGCTCCTCGGTCCAACGCCTCCGGCAAAGCTCGCCCCCGCTCCGGCGATTTCAGCAGCTCCGTCATTTCAGGACTAGCTCAGGGGAGCGGCGAGTACTTCACGCGCCTAGGGATTGGAAGCCCCCCCAAATATGTGTACATGGTGCTTGACACCGGAAGCGACGTCGTTTGGGTCCAGTGCTCCCCCTGCCGGAAATGCTACACTCAATCCGACCCCGTCTTCAACCCTAAAGCCTCCAAGTCCTTCCTCGGAGTCTCCTGCGCCTCCCCTCTCTGCCGCCGCCTCGATTCCCCCGGCTGCAACAACCGCCAGAAGTGCCTCTACCAGGTCTCCTATGGGGACGGCTCCTTCACATTCGGAGAATTCTCCACCGAAACGCTGACGTTTCGCGGCACCAGAGTGAGCAACATCGCCTTCGGCTGCGGCCACGACAACGAGGGACTGTTCGTCGGCGCCGCCGGACTGCTAGGTCTCGGCCGGGGGAAATTGTCTTTTCCTACGCAGGCCGGCGGCCGTTTCGGGAGGAAATTCTCCTACTGCCTGGTGGATCGCTCTGCCTCGTCGAAGCCGTCGTCGATGGTGTTCGGGGAATCCGCGATTTCGAGAAACGCGGTGTTCACTCCATTGCTGACGAATCCGAAGCTCGACACGTTTTACTACGTCGGCTTAAATGGCGTGTCGGTAGGGGGGAGGCGAGTCCCCGGGATCACGCCGGCGCTCTTCAAGCTGGACGCCATGGGCAACGGAGGGGTGATTGTGGATTCGGGCACGTCGGTGACCCGACTGACCCGACCCGCGTACGTAGCGTTGAGGGACGCGTTCCGGGCGGGGGCATCGCAGTTGAAGAGGGCGCCGGATTTCTCGCTCTTCGACACGTGCTTCGATCTGTCGGGGAAGACGGAGGTGAAGGTGCCGACGGTGGTGCTGCATTTCAAGGGTGCGGACGTGTCGTTACCGGCGGCGAACTACTTGATTCCGGTGGACAGCTCCGGGAAGTTCTGCTTTGCGTTTGCAGGGACGATGAGTGGGCTGTCGATCATAGGGAACATTCAGCAGCAAGGGTTCCGGGTGGCGTTCGACTTGGCCCGTAACAGGGTCGGCTTCGCCCCAAGGGGTTGTGCTTGAGCTTAATGGTAATCCATTATACTATCATCAATCAGATCAGATCAGATCATCAATGAAGAAGGATGGAGCGATCAATCTGGTGTTTAATTTGAGGTATGTTAAGGGTTTCGAGGGAGGAGGAAGGGAGCAATGTCTGTCTGTGTCTGTGATTGCTGCTTAGGTTGTTTCGTTTTGTGATCTTTGACTTGACTGGTTTTGGTGGTGATTCTGCTCATTATTTAAGATTAAACCAACAATTTGATTTGATTTGGTTGATACTGGTACTAATTATAACATTTTTATATAGGAAGAGTATTTGTTGTCGTATTTGTATGGTGGCACAGCCTGCGATCACGATGACGAAGATGCTATGTTGATTGTTGATAATGGAAGGGGAAGGGGAAGAGAGATACATGAATAACAATTAATGGAGCTTTTGTTGGAAATTATAAATAATAATACTACTATTTCTTTTATTTTAAAACACTTAGCAACTCTCAATCTCAAATTATCTCATTTAATGGTATTTATTTACCTTAATTTGTGTGTTTTTAATTATTTTTTCTATTGGAAAAATAGCATGTTAAAATAATCATCAATGGTCATAATTTTTGTAGAATGGGTGGAGTAATAAATTGAATGGTGCAAACGTTGAAAGACTAGATTCAAAGGGTAGCTGGGGTGGACTGTCCGGCTTTGACTGACGATATAATTAATTAAATAATCTCAACTAAATACGTAAGTACCATTCTTACTTATTTTTATTCGTTTTTATAATTAATTTTTTATATTTTTACAAAACTATCAACTTTCTTTAAGGGTGTGTTTGTTTGGGGGTCTGGATTTTGAGTTGAGATTTGAATAGTAAAAATTTTGAATTTGAATAGTTGCATGATGTGATATAAACAGGTGTTGATGTAATGTTTTGAATGTAAAATTGATTTTTAAGTATAATATAAAAAATGAAAAATAGATGTTTGATTTAATATTTTTGGGAAGAAAAAATAGAATGAATAATGAAAATCTAATTCAATGCTTCCAAACAAACACACCCGGTATTATTAATATAATACTTCCTCTGTCCACTTTAAATGTTTACATTTTTTTTTGCGTGTTACTCTTTGAATATTAATTATTATATCAAAATATAGTATAAATTAAGTAAATAAGACAAAAATATTTTTATTAATGTTTTATAATATAAATATAATAATATTAATATACAAACTTATATAAATATAATAATATTTTTAATATTAAGTATAATAAGCAAAAGTTAAATGTAAACTTTGAAAGCGGACGCCAGTCCGAATTATTAATTTCTAATTCTAGTTGCAAATCTGGTAATATGATCATCAATCAATCCCCCCCATGTGACTGAGGGAGGAGACTTACCTGTGCTGTCTGTGAGTAGCTCGACTTTAATTTAGTCCCACCGGAATCCCCGCCGCTAATTAAATTAACCTTTTCTTTCTTTATTTATTTGCGGTGGGTGGGGCAGTGTACTGACATTTGTACTTCGTTTAGTGTGTTTATATTATTGTTTAAAAAAATATTATACGAAAAGATTATTATTTTTCATTTTTATTTATTTTAAAATAAAATTATTATTTTTTAATTTAATAATTATATTATTTAATTAATATAACGAATATTCTTCTAATTTATGTTATATTATATAAATATTATTATTTTTATATTATATAATATTGATAGAGATATTTTTATTTTTTTATTACAATTTAATATAATACTAATATTAAAAAATTTACGTGCAATGGGACGGGAGGAAGTATATTTTAGTTTTATTTTAAATTTTAGCTAGATTAATTAGTTATAATTTTAATTTATAATTAAATATAAATAATTATTTTAATATATATATTCTTAATTAATTATTACTTATAGTTATGATAAATTTTCGCATCTATATTTTACAAACCTATTTTGATCTATTGAAGTATATTACGGATTGGATTGTCTTAATTGCAGCAAATTAGTACTCCATCCGTCCCACATAATTTGTCCCCATTTTCTATTTTCGTCTGTCTCACATAACTTGTCTTTTCTATTTTTGAAAATATAGTTATGCACTAATCGCATTTTAAATTTTAAATTTTTTTAATTTTAATTAAATTATTTACTTAATTTAATCTTAATCTATAATTATTTTTACTAATACACTTTTTAATTATTTACTGATTATACTTTACTTAAATTCTCGTATCTACAGTAATAGTCCTATATTTTCTGGGTTGAAGGGAGTACTTAGTTTGTAGCAGTGGTAAATACCACCATAATATATATATATATATATATATCTATTTGAGGCACCTATAGAGAAGTGCACATCTACCTTATTAATTTTGTCTATACTCTATCCATCCATTTATTTAATAATAATAATAATAATAATAAATTAATTATGTAGAAGAGACAAAAAGTGTACGTATATATGTATGTTACTTCATCATCCTAAGAAAAGAAAGCAAATGAGAAAGGAACATTTTATTTATGGCATGGAATAAACGCTCCTGTTGCATGCATGGCCATATGGCAGTCCAGTCCATGTGCATGCAGACTGGCTAAAATACAAATATATAATAGACTATTAGATCTTAGATCGATGATTGATCATTATATATATACATATATATATATGTTATGTTTGTAGATTTAAAACTCCAAATATTAAGGGAATAATCAAGATTTAAATATATAAACTTCATCTGTTATATATCCGCACTTTTTTTTTTCAGTTCAATTTCTTTAAAATTGAATTCTCACAAAAAAGAGGAGATGTGCAATTTTCATCAACTATTTCATATATATATATGCTTGAGAGCATTTTTTACTTTATCTAACAGTGATTTTCCAAAGTGCCATTGCTGAGACAGGTAAATTTCTAAAATGCCACTGCTAAAAGGCTAAAGAAAAATGAAAAAACAGATGGAGGTGCGGGGAATCGAACCCCGTGCCTCTCGCATGCGAAGCGAGCGCTCTACCATATGAGCTACACCCCCATGCTTTGATAAGTTTCTCAGAGATACCAACTTTTTTCTATGGCACTCATCGTCGTTTCCATGTCTTCCTTCTGTAGATGGCATTGCTTAGGGTTTGGAAATCTGAGAAATGGTTTCAGAAGGTCAGTCGTTTGGCGTTCGGTTCTTCGGTAATCACCTATGGGCGTGATTGCAATTCCATTTGAACCGTGTTTATTCTCTGAACTTGATGATTCCAAGTTGTCGACCTTGTTGAAATTGATAGCAGTTCATGTAAGATGCGTGGCTGGAGATTGGGTGTCCATTGATTTTGAATTCATACACCTTATTTAGATGCGTTATTTTCAGTTGATTTTGAACTGTGCAAATTGCAAATTAGAAGCTTATTGCATCAGTATCGATTCAGTTCCAGTACTTTGCAGTGAATCAGAAGTGAAATTTCTGAATTTATTAAAATTTAAACAGCAAACTGTCTGTTCTTAGGTTATGTGCAAATATGTCTCGAAATATTGATAGTATATTTTCTCTTTGCCTCTGCCATGTTAGCTGATGGCGGCTTAACTAAATGTTCATCATCAATGGGTTTACTCTTTGCAGGAACTGCAGGTGCCAGTGCAATTCGAGGTGCAAGTTGAAAACTGATCCAAAGTTTCGTGGTAATGACACTTTTAAGAAACTCAATGTTTTCCTCATTCTGAAGCAAATATGTGTATATGTTGGGACTTTTCAAAATCACAAGTTGGTGTGGATGGAGACACACAGGGCAGCAGTTGCCTTCATTAATTTTTTTTTTTTTATATATATCTGTTGAAGGATTTATGCTACAGGATATAATGATGTCTGCTCACCCGCCATCCCCAACCACCGTGGCCGTGCTCAGCCCCACCACCACCATCCAACATCCAGGCTTCGAATTCAAGACACTTCCGACTAAGATGAAAACCCCCACCATTACATTCCAACAACCCCTCCTCACCAAATTCTTACATATTATCCTCTTCTACATTCTGAATCAGAAGAGGAGTGTTTCTTGCTCTACCAATGGCAAAGCATTCGTGTTTCGAGCTTTTGAAATTGAGTTTTCTGTTTTTGCTTTCAATTGGTTTCTTTCTGTTAAGTCTTGCAGTAGAAGGAGCTGACCAGGAATCTGATGACAACACTGCTGCTCTCTGCAACACTGATCTCAGTTCATTTCTTCCTTTTCCATACGGAAATTTGCCGCGGATGGTCTGCAGACCGCTTTGGAACTCCTATTTGTTAAGGGTAACTTTATTTCTCATCATTCGTTGCATTCATTTCGTTCTATGTATGCCTTATCCATACATTGCATAGACTCACTCATTTCTGATTATAGTATTCTGAGTCCAAAGATAACGAGATCACCGTGGTGTTATCAACCATATACATATCTGGATGGGTGGGGATCGGATTCTCCGAAGATGGAAAGATGCTGAATTCTAGCTGTATGGTGGGATGGATGAATGCAGAAGGGCGAGGAAAGATTAAGCAGTATCATATAAAGGGGTACAGTCCATCGGAGATCAAGCCGGATGAGGGCAAACTCCCGCTGACCAATGTTGTTCCGTATGTGTCACTACAGGGTGCTACAATATACTTGGCGTTCCAGTTGAAATTCGACAAACCTCTCAAAACTCAGCCTATCCTGTTGGCCTTCAGCACCAAGACTCCGCACCATCACCATCTCACGCATCATGATGACAAGATCAGCATCAACTTCGATTTCTCCTCAGGTTTGATTCGATCAATTTAATCACTGAATCACTTGTCCCCTGCCCTAGCTCATGAATGAACAAACAGTTGCATATATTAGGCAAGATTTTCTTCACATGTAGGTAACACGGGCAGCAGCAGCAGCAGCGTTGATCAAATATCTCCGAGCCTTTTCAAAGACAGGAGGACACACGGGACATTGGCGATACTGGCGTGGGGGTTGTTTCTCCCGCTGGGGGCGATCCTAGCAAGATACCTAAGGCATAAAGAGAGCCTTTGGTATTATCTTCATGTAGGCTTTCAGTTCATCGGCTTCTTGCTCGGAGTTGCTGCTGTCATTGTTGGATTGTCGCTCAATCACAAGATGCATGCTTACATCCCGGCGCACAAAGGGATGGGAATCTTCGTTCTTGTGCTCACCATTCTCCAGGTCTGCTCCTTGTCTTAGCCATACCTGTTCTAGTTGAAACTTGGAATACAAATTATACAATAATCTGTGATAATAAGGTATTGAAAAGCAGAGGAAATTGCAGGTGTGTGCATTCTTTACGCGGCCTAGTAAGAACAGCAAATACCGAAAGTATTGGAACTGGTACCACAACTGGATGGGGAGGCTGTGCCTCTTCTTTGCGGCCGTGAATATTGTGCTGGGAATACACATTGCAGGCGGCGACGATGCCCATGGCCAAGGCCAAGCATGGAAAATTGGGTACGGGTTTCTGGTGGGGTGCACCTTGGCTGTGGTCCTATTCATGGAAGCTGTGCTGCTTCTTAGACACAGAAGAAGGCTGTCGTCGTTGTCGGAGGTGGATAACCACCCCGGCGGGTTCTCCCTGAATTCGATGGAGAAAGAGATATCCCTTTAAGGAGAAGAGGGCAGTGATGATTGATGCTGAATTTTCGAGAAAACAAACATGTACAATTCAGGATTTCAACAAGACTTTACTGGTTTGATTGCGCAGAAAGTATATATGCAAAGTTTAGATTTGGAATTGGAAATGGAAATGGATATGAAGATTGATGATGATGGATTAATGAGATTTTGTAGTGTATAATGAATGTGAAATTAAAGGAAGGGATATATATATATATATGTATGTATGTATGTATGCATGTAAAGGGGATGAAATGAAAATGAAAATGATGATGAATTTTGTGTAGAGGCAATAGAGGGTTTTAATTTAATTTAATTTAATTTTATTTTTTTTCATGTTTAGGTAGTTCAATTTAATTTAGTTTGGTTTGGTTTGATTGTACTTGTATTGTCTTCATATTTGGTGTGATTGAATGAGTGAGGGGCATGGCCATAAGCATTTGCATAATTGCATTCCAAATCTTATAAAATATTGAATAATATAAACATGCAAAGAAAACAAACATTTGGACTTGTAGGGTCTCCTTTTAAATTTATCCTACACTAGTAGAGGAGAGGGTTATGGGTGTGTTATTTTTGTGTTTTGATTTTTAAAAAATAATTTTATACCAAATCGTTTATATTAATTTTTTGAAAAAAGTATATTAAAATTTTTTTGGGTAAAAGAACAAAGTTTATCCTCGTCATCCAAATTTTTGGATTTGTTTCTTTTAATTCAAAATTCGGGTTTCTATTATTTGAACTTTGCAATTTTAAAAAAAATATATTTTTTTTACAAAATATCTCATCATACATTATTTTATGTCAAATTGAAACCAACTTTTTTTCAAACACATACCCTTGGTTCTTTCAGGGTGTGTTTGTTTGGGCTTTGGATTTTGAGTTGGGATTTGAATAGTAAAAATTTTGAATTTGAATAGTTGTACGATGTGATATAAATAGGTAATGATGCAATATTTTGAATATAAAATTGATTTTTAGTATAATATAGAAAATAAAAAATAGGTGTTTGATTTGATATTTTTTTTAAAAAAAATTGGATGAATAATGTAGATCCAATCCCCAAACAAACACACCGACAAAATGAGATGAATAGTTATATATATATATATTATACAAAAAAATTATACTACTATATAATAATACAATTTTTAGAGTAAAATTATACTAATTATTAATTTTAAACTATACAAAATTAAATATTGCAATATATGATGCTACTGTTATAGTTTATTATTTTGTATGTTTTTAAAATATGACAGTTCATAAACTAATACTATCTTAACAATAAACACATAGAATTATTTTTGACAATTTTTAAAAATAAACTCTTTAACAGGGAAGGCATGGGATCACTGGTCCCTTCCTCTGCCCAGCGCTTTAAAACATATTATGTAAAATATATCGATGATATAAAAATAATAATATTTATTTGATATATTATAAATTGTAACTGTATTTATAATGTTAAGTTTATAGTATAAACGTACCTATAGCTTTACGTGAAAAATGTGAAAAGAATGGGGGTGGCGGATCCCATCCCAAGAAAGTGTTACTTGACCCGCAAATCAAAGTCAATCCTTTGCCATGGTACGCGTTGACTTTTTTGGTTATGCCTTTTGGTAGGTAGGTATTTAACATTGACTTTTTCTTGGCTGCGCGTGTTTATGTGTTAAATAGGTTGGTATTCCATTGCAAGTAAATATGACTCTCTTTGCACACTTTTTTTTTTTTTTTTTTATATATATATTTATCATTTAATCAAATAAACATTTATTTTATTTTTAATAAATTTTAAACAATTTAATTTAATTTAATCTAATTTCAAATTCTATTGGCTTATTTTATTATTATTATTATTATTATTATTGACAATGTGGAAATTTGTAGTAGCTACTTGACGAGTGCGTGGTCCAACTTAATATCCTGCAAATTAAGTTCGAAAAAGTAAGTTACACTAGACTAATCGTATACGACAGATGGACCTGAAAACGTCAAAAGTTTGAACCCATGACGCCACAAACTAATTTAGCTCTATCTAAATATATATACAACACTATAAATATTTAAAAATCGTGTGATAATTTATCATCAGTCCTATAAATTTGTTCTAATACTTTGAATTCTATTTATATATATCAAAACTCTAACAAATCTTCAAAACTCTTGCTAAGACTTGTGGGGTTTGTCTATTTCAATCTCATTTATTACTATTTTCTAATTTTTTTATCTAAAAATAGTACATTCAATTATTTATTTATTCAAAAACATGAAGTTATATATAACTATAAAACAATGAATTTATAAAAAAAAATAATAATAAATTCAATATATGAATAAAAAATTTAATATTGTACTTCAAAAGAAAAAACACTAATGGGGAAAGCATTTTGTTGGACTGATATTGGGACAACTAGGGGAGTAAATGAGATTATATACCCCAGTAATCCTAGCCTTAAACAATGGATATTAGGTGTTGTGCGTATCGACTCGTATTGTGGTGTAGCTAACACATTAACTATTCTGTCTGAAGAATACGTTTGTAATAATGAACTGTATTGATATGTCTTAAATCTAGTGTGTCATTTCGCTGAGCTTTCACGGAGGTTTCGTTGCAAGGTTAGCGAATCAGGGGTCAAGGGAGGCGAAGTCCCCATTGCCTAGGATCCGGGGGCGCGAAGTTGCCACCGGCCTGAAGGTATGCAGTATTGGACTTTGGAGTTAGTATTGGGCTAAGTCTATCTGATGTATTCTCTTGGTTTATTTAAATAAATTTTGAGATATAAAATCTATAATTTGTAACGCAACCGTCCTCAATAAATGTGTTTTTCGTTTCTGGCCGTGGACGTAGCCAACACGTTGGTGAATTATGTAAATCTGTGTCTTCTTTATGTTTTATGTTTGTTATTCGATCACTAATTCTAATTCGTCATAACAAACTGAAAGATATTGACGAAGACTTGAACAAGCGGTGAAGTATATGGTTTAATTCGATATAAAGTGAAGAATCTTATCCGGACTCGACATGCTGTGAATCTTCTTAAAACTCTCAAGTTATCTCGAGTCATGTCGGTGGGTGTGTTAGTTTGAATTTCAAACTTGTTGAATATAGATACATTAGAGAAAATGTGAGAACTCTTTTGGTTTGTAAGGATGAAGAGCTATTTCATGTACCACCAATTGGTTTTAGGTTGGAAGTTCGGATCCCTTCCTAACATGGTATATATAAGGGTGAAGAACCACTCCACCTATCACCGATTTATTTTAGATTGAAAGTCGAGATCTCTTCTTAACAAAACTCAAATTAACATTATTAAACTTTTATAATTTTATATAAAAATATATTATTTTTTTCTAAAAAAATATTATATAAAAATGTTATTAAAATTAAGATTATATAAAACCATCAAACCTCAAATCAACACCAAGAAAACTTGTTGCAGGAATTAGGTTCGGTCGGGAATTTACCTAGTCAGCACTTTCGGGTAGCGACTGTGAGTTTCCATGTCATAAAAAAAAAATTAAAAAAAAAACCAAGAAAATTTGTTCCGTAAAAAATGACCTAGTTTGTAGGGTATTAGGTTCGAACTCTCAGTTTTTTATATTATAAAAAAAAAATCCGGGGATTTACCCTGAGTTTTTCACGTTATAAAAACAAAAGAAAAAAAAACCAAAAAAAACACTATGTTGTGTTTATTTTGTGTTTTGATTTAAATTTTTTTATACAAAATAAAAAAAAATATATAAATAATATAAAAATAATAAATATACATAATATATATATATTTATAAAAAATATATTAAAACTTTTTTGGTAAAGAAACAACACACTTACCAAAAGCACACCCTGAATTTGATGTGACTCCACAAATGTATGTACATTTATTATAACAATAATAAAGAAAATAGAGCTTTGTAGTAATATATGAACAGAATGTTCACATTTTCTGACAATTTACCACTTTAGCATCATGGATTCCCACCAAACTGCTACTAATCATTAATATGATTTTATTCATTTAGTTTTTATTATTATTATTATTATTATTATTGAATTTGTTTTTAAACTAGTCAATGAGAAATTATGATGATACTACTAGTCAATGAGAAATTATGATGATACTGTGAAATATAATTTTTTGTATTAAATTCTTAAATTATTTTGAGTGAATAAAGTATATATTTTCTCCGTCCCATATTTATATATTCATTTACTTTTTGTACGAAATTTTAAGAATATTAGTATTATATTAGAATATTGTATAAATAAAGGTAAACAAGACTAAATTGCCTTTATTAGTATTGTATGATATAAAAGTAATGACATTTGTGTAATATATTGCAATTGAGAAGAGTATTTGTAATGTCAGAGAGATAGTACCGTTACTAAAAAAAATAAATATTTTATTATGGGACATATAAAAATAAAAAAATGAATAAATTGTTAAGTAACGGAGGGAGCCTTATGTATAATTAAATTACTAATTATTTATGGTACCTCTGAGGTTAGTTTGGTTGTAGGTTACTAATTATTTATGGTACCTCTGAGGTTAGTTTGGTTGTAGGTTTCAAGCTTGAATTTGAGATTTGAAATAATAATTTTTTCAATAAATAATCATTTGATACAATATAAATCTATCTATAATGAAATTTGGGTTTGAATTTATTTTTTTTTAAAAAAATGTTTGTTTAGTATTTTGATTTAAATTTTTTTAGGTAACATATAAAAAATTGTGTTGATAATATAAAACAATATATATGTTAAATGTTGATAAAATATACTCTTTCCGTCAACCAAATTTCTCGGTCCGCCAATAAAAAAAAAATAGAAATAATTAAAATAGCACTATATTATATAAATTAAATTAATTTTTTTTGAATAACATAAAAATCTGCCGTCGCTATCCGAAAGTACGCACTAGATAAATCTGAAAAGTCAAAGGTTTAAATCCATCACCTCATGATCACAAGTGCAACCTCTGGCCACCGGGTCATCCTTTCTAGAGTAGCAGTGGTAATAACTGATGATTGTAGTTAGAATATGGAAACTTGATGCTGGTCTGTTACGGACCCCACTTTTCCATTTCCATCGTTTACTTTAATAATTAACTTAGCTACCAAATAAGTCCGTAACTGAATTTACAAAATTTAATACTACTTAGTAAACAAATATTTAGCTAATTATAACATTTAAAACTCCCAAATATACTATAAATAATAATAATAATAACAATAATTGATGAAATAATAGTGGTTCACACATATTTACACGGCAATTGATAATGGAATGGAATGATTTTAATTAATTAATTAATTATATTATATATCAATGGCACAGATCATATGCTAATTTTATTTTTTTCAGCACTTATGCTTGACTAATTAAAACATTAATATTTTAATTATATTTAAAATATAATTAAATAATACTAATACAACACAATTTTGTATTAATATCTTAATAAAAGTGTTGCATAGGAAATAATTAAGGTGGTTCTCATGTGATGGGTCCGACCCGACCCGACCCGACCCGAGGGAGAAACTTGTTGAGTCACAACGTATTGTAGTATCATCACTTTTCACAGTGGTCTGTCTCTTGCAATATGATTCCTCATCTTTAGTTGATTGTAAAATAAGGCACGCCACTTACCAACCAACTTATTATAGGCATTCAAATTCAAATTAAGGATGCCTTTCACTCTGTGTATGTGTTTTATTATTTGTGTGTGCGCGCGCATGCCTACCTAATATATATATATATATATTTTAAATCTTATAAATTTTTATAAATATTATAAAAGTAAAATACTGTATATATTTATATATAAAAATTTAACGACGACCCTAATACCCTACAAACCTGAGGGGTCTTCGGTCATATGTCCAACTCCTACATCACAAGGTCATTCTTTACGGGACCTATTTTTTATATTATTGATACTATTTTCCGTATCTAATGTAAAAAAATAAATTCATACAAGTGAACAAATTTAATACTCCCTCCGTCCACTTACAATGTTTACATATTTTTATTTTGGGACGTCAAATTACAAAGTTAACATTTCATTAAATACCCTATTTTTTTTCACAAATACCCTTACTTTACATCACATCATTACTTTTACACAAAAAAAAAGTAAGGGCAAAAATGTCATTACACTACTTTTAATTACTCACTGTAATTAAAATACTATTATTTTTTAAACACCGTGCCAAAAGTAAATGTAAACTTTGTAAGTGGACGGATAAAGTATTATTTTTAAAATATTTTTTCTCTAAAAGTATTGCTTTGACTATCATTTTATTATACTAAAAATAATTTTTACATTTCAAATATTACATAAATATTTATTTATATCATATTAAATAATTATTTTTAATTTAAAATTGATCCAAAATCCAAACTTAAAATGATGGAAAGATTTTTATTTTGTAAGTAGCCTCCGTTACACAAGTTCTTCAATAAAATAATACCATCATGTCCAACAGAAAGCATTATTATGTACCAAGTACCGCAATTACATGATCGTTGACGTTCATTTTAAATTAAATAAATTAATAAAAAAATACACGAGGATGAGGATCTGCCGACGTATAGAGAGGAATGTTTGTTTTGCACATAAATTGTTTAATATTACTATTATATTGTGTTAAAATAAAAAAGACGAAAATATCTTTATTAGTATTGTGTAACATAAATGTGGTGGATTTGTGTAATATATTGTAAATTGGAATGATATTTATTATGTTAAGTAGGTAATACAATTATTAAATTAAAAAATGATATCCTTGTTTCTTGTTTTGGACCGACAAAAATGAAAAATAGAATCATTCTTACGGGGACGAAGGAGTATATTCTTTCAAGGTAGGGAGTGTAATTTGCCTTGTCAAATTTAATTTGCAAGTTATTAAATTTGACTGAAAATTTATCTAGTGTACAATTTCAAATAGCGACTTCGAATTCTCACATTATAAAAATAAATAAATAAATAAATAAAATTATATATTCTTCAAATTGGACTGTACAGCAGATGTAAATTCCATCATTCATTCGATTTTTTTATAATACACTATATTATATATATATGTATATATATTCTTAGTATTGGCTACAAGCTGATCGTCAAATAATATAATACACTATAGTATCGACTGTATCGTCAATTAATTAATTAATCATATAATTCCAACAATGGTATCTCAATGCTTCTTTATCAAACGCGCTGTGCTACCCACCCCACCCAAGTATATGTACCTATCGTGTTTGTTATATTGTAGACACGTTATTTTAAGAGGAGTGTAATTAATATATAATTAAAAATATATTAGTGAAAATAATTATTTTATAATATAAATAATTATAAATTAAGATTAAGATAACTAATTAGTTTAATTAAAATTTAAAAAAATAAAATTAAAAAATTTAAAATAAGATTAAAGTGTATAATTTTTTCCAAAAAAGAAAGTGAGATGGTACGTGGGACGGACAAAAACGTAAACATGAACATAGTATACGGATGGAGTATTATTTAATAATGAATTAAACTAACATGTACTAATTAATAATTATGGTTGAATACCCCCTAATTAGCCTAATAAACTTTTATTTACTTTATTGCTTCTGTAACTAAAAAAATGTCTCTCTCTCTCTCTACCTATATATATACCTGTGTATGTTTTTGTGTGTATATATATACACACGCTTCCCTCCTTCCCTCGTTGAAATATACACACGAAGAGAGTGAATGTGGGTACACTACTACCAGTACTGCATACCACGGAAATTCCTTCATCCAACTGAAATTTGGCAGACCTTTTCACTCCTCTGTCAACAGATTCAATTTCTTCCGCTTTAATCCGGCGTCATTCCGCTCATTCGTTAAATTCGCACTCAGATTGCTTTCAAATTTCACATGTAAAACCACCACCAAACCTAACAATACCCACACCGACACATGATCCTGTTTTCCACACTTTGTTAAATCCGTTGTGCAATTTGTGATTGTGTTGTATTAATTAGTCGTTTGCAGGATCCAATCCAGCAGTGCAGCTGTAGTTTCCATTACTGAGGTATTTAGTTCTCTCTTTTCTCTGTGCTTAAAAACAGCAGAATTGATGTGTGTAGAAGGGGAGTACATGAACAGAGCGCCGAAATTGATAAATAAATTAGATATATGTAATTCTGTGTTCGTCGAATTCTCAAGTTTAGCCGCATCTGAAATGGCTAAACTGATAATTTGTTAGTACGCATGTATGTTTATCTCAATTATACTGTGTTTGTCAATTGTCATATGATCATCGTACGGTTTGCAGGTTCTTGTTCTCCAGATCTATTGTAAAAAGTAACGAGCAGAGCAGAAACGACAGGTTGAAATTTAATCATGTGGAGGCTGAAGATTGCAGAGGGAGTGGATAGCCCTTACCTGTACAGCACCAACAACTATGTAGGAAGACAGACGTGGGAGTGGGAGTCAGATCCCGATTATGGCACACCAGAGCTCCGGGAAGAGATGGAGAAAGCCCGCCGAGACTTCTGGAACAACCGTGACCGTGTTAAGCCCAGCAGCGATCTACTCTGGCGAATTCAGGTCGATTATTTTCGTCTCGTTTGGTTTTTTCAATTTGGCAGTTAGCTTCATTTTGTTCAGTATGAATCTTCTTCTTCTTCTTCGTCTTGTACATGAATACGACGCGGCCTTATTTTCTCCGTCCGCGATTGGTAAATTACAATTAAATATGAATTAAATAAGGAATGATTAAGAAAGACATGCATGTATGTTGCATATCATTATGAGCAATTCCAGTTACGTATACGTAAGAAATTATGTATGTACGTGTCTGTGTTATCTGAAAGTTGCGCGCGCGCAGTTTCTGCACGAGAAGAATTTCAAACAAACGATACCCCAAGTGAAGGTGGGCGATGGCGAAGAAATCACCCACGAGGTGGCGACTGCAACTCTCCGAAGAGCTGTTCACTTTTTCTCGGCCCTGCAAGCAAGCGACGGCCATTGGCCTGCGGAAAATGCCGGTCCACTGTTCTTTCTTCCACCTCTGGTCAGTCTTCAGTTTCTTCTCCCAACTCTCTCTCTCTCTCTCTCCATATATATACATACATATATATATATATATAGTTGTCATCGTTGTGACAAGGAGCTAACTAATTTTTTAATTGACAACTCTAATAAAACTGGAGATTGATTTAACCAATTATATTCTATCCAGTTAAATTTTTGTGTGTGATGGATCTTGTTGCAGGTCATGATCCTGTACATTACTGGCCACCTCAACAGTGTTTTCCCGGCTGAACATCAAAGAGAAATTCTGCGATACATATACTGCCACCAGGTACACACATAACGTTTGTTTGTCTAATATTTGTTTAAGTGTAGCGTTGCTCAATATGACCACCAAATATGTACACATAGCAAAAGAACCTTGGGTAAATTATTAGTATATTGATGGAGTGGCATGGCATGCAGAATGAAGACGGAGGGTGGGGTTTCCACATAGAAGGCCACAGCACCATGTTTTGCACGGCACTGAATTACATAGTTATGCGCATACTGGGACAGGGGCCGGAAGGAGGTGAGAATAATGCTTGCAGCAGAGCCAGGAAATGGATACTCGACCACGGCACTATAAAAGCTATACCTTCTTGGGGAAAGACTTGGCTTTCGGTAGGACAGAACATCCAGCTTACTACACTTGATTCATTTCTTCCTGTATATGAGTTCGATTCTTAATTATATCTTTCTTTTGCCTTTAGATTCTGGGACTATATGACTGGTTGGGAAGCAATCCGATGCCCCCTGAATTTTGGCTCCTTCCATCTTTTCTCCCCATGCATCCTGGTCAGTTGCATGATTATATTATGTTGAGTTACAACTTACGAGTCCGAACATGTGGTTAGTTTGATGTTCTTTGGGTATATATCTAAGGCTTGTTGTCTAACAGCTATGTTTCCTCCTGCATCAATGCAGCAAAAATGTGGTGCTACTGCCGGATGGTATACATGCCCATGTCGTATTTATATGGCAAAAGATTTGTGGGCCCAATTACCCCGCTTATCAAACAGCTAAGAGAAGAGTTATATGATCAACCATATGAAGAAATTAACTGGAAGAGCATTCGGCACCTATGTGCAAAGGTACAGAATATACTAAATCACTAGCCTCTTGATTAATGCTAACAAAAATCTAATTCATATATCACAATGTTTGCAGGAGGACATCTATTATCCCCACCCATTAGTACAAGATTTAATCTGGGACAGTTGTTACATATTGACTGAGCCTCTATTGACCCGTTGGCCTCTCAACAAGCTGAGAGAGAAAGCTCTTCAGGTCACAATGGAACACATCCACTATGAAGATGAAAATAGCAGATACATCACTATAGGGTGTGTGGAGAAGGTGTTGTGTATGCTAGCTTGTTGGGTTGAAGATCCTAATGGAGACTATTTCAAGAAACATCTTGCTCGAATCCCTGATTACATATGGGTTGCTGAAGATGGCATGAAGATGCAGGTAAATAAGCTTGTTCATTCTTGTAATATATTTTTATCGATTTTTCCATGCGCGAACGGAGCATTTGACATGCTTGTGCTCAATTGCAGAGTTTTGGTAGTCAACAATGGGATACTGGTTTTGCTCTACAAGCATTGCTGGCCAGCGGTATGGCGGATGAAATTGGTGAGACTCTGAAGAAAGGGCACGACTTTGTAAAGAAATCTCAGGTAGGAATGATCATATTGACTTGTTGGCTTTGGGGGATCTAGGATGCTCAAGTTTGTTTTTTACAGGTCAAAGAAAATCCTTCCGGTGACTTCAGAAGCATGTATCGACATATATCAAAGGGATCGTGGACATTCTCGGATCAAGATCATGGATGGCAAGTGTCTGATTGTACAGCAGAAGGACTGAAGGTATAAATCCTATTATATTTTTATTCATCAACCAAAGAAATGTAACATTAATAATCTGATGCACATATGCTTTCATTTGGTAGTGCTGCCTTCTCTTCTCTACGATGCCTCGTGAGATTGTTGGGGAGCATATGAAACCTGAGAAACTGTTCAACGCTGTCAACATATTGCTCTACTTGCAGGTAGAAATATGGCACTTTCCAATGTTTGACACAATATAATATACTGTACAACTTTCATTACATTATGCAGCGAAAACACGAGAATCTTATACAGCCACAGAATTCGTTTGCTTATGCCCACACCATCCTGCACTGTTTTGAAACAATTAGTAGCTGTAACTAACATTATTGTTCTACAATTTCTGAATAACAGAGCAAAAATGGTGGTTTAGCTGCATGGGAGCCTGCAGGAGCTTCAAAATGGCTGGAGGTAGCTTTACCCATCAATATGTATATATATATATATCTTATTCTTGAGAGCATACGTACGAATTAAGACTATGAGATTTAATTAGTAATGATGCATGTAACTTTGAATGAATTTGCAGCTGTTGAACCCCACAGAGTTTTTTGAGGACATTGTTGTGGAGCATGAGTAAGATCTTGAATCATGGATCTCACTTAACTGACTATCTTGAGATACATTAGCTTATTATAAGAAACCAAACCACGAGTGCAGGTATGTGGAGTGTACTGCAGCATCAATTCAAGCCCTGGTTCTGTTCAAGAAGTTGTATCCCCAACACCGTAAGAAAGAGATCGAAAGCTTCATCCCAAAGGCTGTCAGTTACCTGGAGGAGGTGCAAAGACCTGATGGTTCATGGTAATGCACGCCTCTCTCTCTCTATATATAAATGGGCTTTAGCATACGAATAAATATTAATTAATGAATGAATTAAATAGGTATGGAGCGTGGGGCGTTTGCTTCACATACGGCACTTGGTTTGCACTGGGAGGGCTGGCTGCAGCTGGTAAGAGGTACGAGAATTGTGCAGCAATTAGAAAAGGAGTGGAGTTTCTACTGAAAACGCAAAGGGATGATGGGGGCTGGGGAGAGAGCTACCTCTCCTGCCCCAAGAAGGTACATGTTTGTACGTATGTATGATAGTGGTACACGTGTGATATATATATGATATATGATGTATGCAGGAATATGTGGCCCTGGAAGGAAATAGGTCAAACTTAGTTCACACTGGTTGGGCGATGATGGGACTAATCCATTCAGGGCAGGGCGAGAGAGACCCAAAACCCCTCCACCGTGGAGCAAGGCTTCTGATAAACTCTCAAATGGAAGATGGAGATTTCCCTCAGCAAGAAATCACAGGAGTGTTCATGAAGAACTGCATGCTCCACTATGCCGCTTACAGGAACATTTACCCTTTGTGGGCTTTGGCTGAATACCGCTCCCGCCTCCAACTTCCCTCCTCTTCCTAACTATTCTTGTCTACCAATAAAAATAAGTTATACTGTCTACCACGTAGTAGTAGTAGTAATAATAATAATAATAATAATATTCATAACAATAACGAAATTAATCTACAATTGTATTATATATATATATATATATATATCAAAGGTTGTACGAATGGCTACATAAAATTTCCTTCTTAGCCTCAAATTGTGGTACGGACATTTACTCTAGTCTAAAAATGTGATTTTAAGTGTCTATAAGTTCAAAATTGTCAATTCAAGCATATTTTGTCCTTTTGAACGAGTTTATTTTTTGTCCGATTTGAGAACCATTTCCTCTTAGGGTGTGTTTGTTTGGGGGTTTGGATTTTGAGTTGGGATTTGAATAGTAAAAATTTTGAATTTGAATAGTTGTATTATGTGATATAAATAGGGTTTGATGTGATGTTTTGAATGTAAAATTGATTTTTAGTATAATATAAAAAATGAAAAATAGGTGTTTGATTTGATATTTTTGGGGGGAAAAAATTGGATGAATAGTGGAAATCCACCAAAATCCTTCAAACAAACACACCCTTAATGTTGACCGAATTGTCCCAAAATTCCATCCAAATTTTTTTATTACATACATTTATATTTGTTTATATTCAAAAGATTTAATTATAAAAATACAATATATCAATATAGATATTATTTTATAGAATTTTTTTTAATAATACACAATAAAATATTTAAAAAATAATAATAATTTTAAAAGATATTTTCTAATAAAAAAATGAAACACAATTATCCAAGAATAAATTTATTTAGGGTGTGTTGGTTTGGTGTTTGGATTTTGAGTTGGGATTTGAATAGTAAAAATTTTGAATTTGAACAGCTGTATGATGTGATATAAACAGGTGTTGATGTGATATTTTGAATGTAAAATTGATTTTTAGTATAATATAAAAAATAAAAAATAGGTGTTTGATTTGGGGTGCGTTTGACAACTCTGTTTATACATCAAATGACTGTTAAGGATATTGATATGTTATTTTTTTAAAATATTTAATTTTGTTCATTTTGGTTTGAAATTTACGAGAATTTTTGTTATTAATTATTGAAAATTATAAAAATGTTATAAAATATTTATTTTTATTATTTAGATCTGAGAAAAATATTTTTACTACAAAATAATAATTTTTTTATTGAAATCATGTAAAATATAAAATAATAAATATTTCGTATATGTATTTTTATTATGTTAATTATTGTTTTAATATATAAATAAATTAATAATCTTTGTTTTTTTTATTTGATTTAATTTTTAAAATTTATATATTTTATAAATAAAATAATTTATATATAATAATTAATAATAGTAATTATTTTAAATTTTACAAAAATAAAAATATAATTTAATAAATTAAATATCTTAAAAATAATAAATAAATACTTCTATAAAAATATATTTATATGTATAAAATAAATAATTAAGTTTTAAGGGTAAATAAGAAATAGCTTAAATTAAAATGAAAAAGTGTTTCAAAACGTTGGGTAGATGAACTTTTCAAAAATTAGCTTTTTAAGTCCAAAAAGCTCATTCAAAAAATTAATTTAGATGTTTTTTGACTGGTCAAACAGAAAGTTGTTTAATAAGCTAAAAATTCTTTAACAAGTTATTTCCCAAATATGATATTTTTGAGAAAAAAAATAAATATATATTTAAAATTCAATCCCCCAAAAAATTTCTTATTTCTCTCTCTTTCTCTCAATGCTTTGACCGAATCTCGTTTCTCTCTCTTTCGATACCTCACGCCTATACGGATTTGGTATTAGGTCGCTCCGCCCATCTTTCTCTTTCTCTCTTTCTCCCCTAGGATTGCGGTTTGCGCTTTCAGGCCCAAAACAATGGAGGCTTCGTGTTTTCAGGCCCAAAATACTAAGGCCCATCAGACCAGAAAAGACTCTGCTGTCGTATCTTCCAATTAAAAGAGGACACGTTGCATCCTACGTGTCACTGACCCAAACTCTTTCCTGTCCTCATGACCCTGACCCTGACCCTGACCCGATTCTCGGCCTCCTCCTCCTCCTCCTCGTTCGCTCTGTGCTCCAATTCCAATATATTTCTTTCGCCTTTGGCGCCTTCAACGCTGCAAATTCCGCCCAAAATTTCACTTCGATCCGCCTCTCTCAATATTTTGCATTACTTGTTTGTTTATTATCGCTAATTTTTTGCATCTCTTCGTTGTGAATATTTTTATTATTTATTTTTTATTTGTCATGAGAAGGAGCCTAGGGAAGAAAGGAAAAGCTACCGCTTTAATACAGATACATGGATAGATAGATACACCCCTGTGTTCACATTAATTCAGGGCTTCCTTGCAATTGGGTTTTTGGGGATCAAATCTGAAACAGATACGATTGTGTCTCGTGATTCAGCAATTTCCTTATCTTGCTCCTTAGGTCTCCCAGCCTCGATTTCTCTCTCAATCTCATTCTTTCAATTGGAAGCTTCTTGATTTTTCTTGCGAATTTCGTTTTGGAAAGTCCAATTAAAGGGTAGATTTTATTTTCCTGGGGCCTCTAGGGTTCATCTGCTCGAGTTTGCGTTTCGAAATCGGAAAAATTAGGGTTACGTTGGGATTTTGGAGGAAAGGTTTGCTCTTTTATTCCCCCGAGCATTCATCCGGATTTATTTGAACGGGCGTTTGGATTTTAAGCTTCGACGCGGGGAAGAGTTTAGATCTTTCTGGCTGTTGAGTTTTCCGACCGGAATTTTCTGATTTGGCAACGAGGGTACAATTATGAAATAGCCGAGAAAAAATCGCAATGCCGAGGATTAAGCGTTGCTCGACGGCGAGGGATGAATTGGCCGGTGGAAGCGACGGCGAGGAATCATGCTTGGTCGCAGTGAATGGCAAGAAGACGAAGAAGAGAAGCAGCGAATGCTTTACAGTTTCTGCAGTCCAGTTGGAAAATCGCAATTTTGAATGCACAACTGGTTCTCAGACTAGAAACCCTCCGCAAAAAGGCAAAGCGAAATCCAATCTTCAGAAGATGGCTAAGAGCCAATCTCCACTGTTGAAATCTACCCGAGGAGGCCGTCGGCAGGTACTCCCGAAGAAATTCAAGGACTCCGTTTTGCATCCATGGAAGAAAGAAGATTCAGCAGGCTGTGATAACTCGACGAGCTGTTTACCTGGAGAGGAAGAAAAAGCTGAGGATGTGGAGAATCTTAACAATAAGAAGCGAAAAGAGTCCTCCCCGGACATGGGTACGAGTACGACCAAGAAACAGCAAATTGAAAAGCTATCTAAGGACGCGATTTTGGAGCCTCATTCCAGTTCGCGTAGTTCTGTGACGTCAGTTGATGAAGGGGTTTCTTGGGTAGTGGAGAGTGGCGAAAAACGGCAGACTGCGGCGCCTACGGCGGCGGCGGTTGAGAAAAAGGCTGGTTATTTTCAACCTGGGGATTTTTTAAATGGAGATATTGTATGGGCAAAATGTGGGAAGAGTTACCCCGCTTGGCCTGCCATTGTTATCGATCCTCTCAGCCAGGCTCCAGAATCAGTACTCAGAGCTTGTGTTCCGGACACACTGTGTGTGATGTTCTATGGATATTCTAGAAGTGGAAGAAGGGTAAATTCAATTAATTCCTCAGCAAAAACATGAATCTATCTATGCAGTTTACCTTATCTTTCCAGGCTCCCAAGATAAGAAATTGGTTGTGTCTGGATGAGGGTTTCATTCAAATCATTATTAATGCGAGCCTGATATCTGTCTGTTGTTGATGTTTCCTCGCCAGGATTACGGGTGGGTAAAAGCGGGGATGATCTTCCCGTTTCATGAATACCAAGACAGGTTAGTAGTAATAATAATAAGTAATTAATAAATGTGACATACTGACTGCTGGTTGATTGTGTTCTTGGATGCACGTGCAGATTTCAGGGGCAGACTAAGTTGCGTGGTAGTAAGATGAGTGATTTTCACGCGGCTATCGAGGAGGCTATTTTAGTAGAAAACGGCTATTATGACAGTTTGGACATGAAGGGTGCTGGTGGTGGTGGTGGAGGAGAAAATCAGGACACGTTTCCTGAGAAAAAAACTTGCAGGGATGCACAAGGGACAACAACTGAAACTGGTTCAAAGCAGGATCACCACTCACCTACTACTATTCACCAGGCAAATTTCAATCAGCTTACCATTGCATTTGTACCAAGATCTGATCTTTACCTGTTGTTTCGGAGTATTTTGTTAGATTTCAATGAAAGATAAGTTTTTTATATAATTTCGGAAGTGTAAAACTGAAAAATTGGATGTGTTGTTTTGAAAAAGTATAAAAACTGTAATATAGTTAGTAAGCGAAAGAATAGCGATAAAAAATGAATTTGAAAACTAATTGTTATTTCAAACGAAGGCCACTATCTATTTTTGCCATTATATTATTATTATTATTTTATTATTATACATATGAAAATGAGGTTTGTTTTTGTAACTAGAAAATATCTATTTGGACACCCAAGCCCACATCTGTTCCGTACATTTCAATAATGATACATGGGACTGCACGCATACACACACAAACTTAGATATATGTATTGATATTATAAATCATAAGTACATAGTCAAATATTGTATGAATTACTTTACGTCATTCACTAAAATTTAATTCCACTAAATACATATTAGTTTCCCACACAATTTGGCAAATACTGTTAGGAGGAGTTATCGTTTGTTTGTTTCTTGTAGGACAGTTTATGCTTTAAAATATTTGTTTATTTTATTTATGTATTTTTATTTTGGGTCAAGGAATGTCGTGCGTTAAGGATACGTTTTATCTCGGATTGTGTGTAGCTTCTGACACTTTGACCAATCCATGTCTTATTCTTCTTTGTACCCTTTTTGTCGGAATTTCAATTTCAATGTCCTCTTATTGTCTCCTTAAATTGTCTGTTGTTGTGCTACAGGAATTAGGTGATGAAAGAGAAGATAACCGGACTTGTGATAGTTGTGGCTTGATATTTCCAAGTAAAATGGGCAAGAAGATGTTGAACAAAAGGATTAAAACCCGTTTTTTGTGTCAACATTGTATTAAGGTGCCTAATAGCTTGTTGTGCTATGTACTTAAGCCATGTACTTATGCCTTTCTCAATGCGATTTTTACTTGGATTCTGGTTATTTTGCAGTTAAGCAAGTCAAAGCAGTTTTGTGGTGTTTGCAAAAAAATATGGCATCATTCTGACGGTGGTGACTGGGTAATATATTCTCCATTACTTTCTTGTTTTCTTTTTATTATATGTTGGTCATGTTATTGGCTCTTAACATGTTTTAATTTTTATACAAAATATTGGTATAGGTGTGTTGTGATAGTTGTAATGTTTGGGTCCATGCCAAATGTGCTAAAATTTCTACCGGTCATTTGAAGGTATGAATATCTATTCGATGAATGTATATTTAGTCTTGTTCTCTAATTATTGGCTTGAAACCATATTATGATATTAATTATTTGATGTATCTAATCTTACAGGATTTGAAAACTATAGATTACTTCTGCCCGGAATGCAAAGTAAAGTCGGTATCGGGATCATTTGTTTCTGATAAACAAAAGTATGTTTCGCTTATATATTGCTTTGGCCTTGTGTCATACTTATTTTTTTCTAGTTTCTTGAAAGTACAATTTATTTGGTGAAGTAATATTTGCCCTTGTTGGGATTTTTCAGACCTGATGAGAAGTCTGAGAACAAAACAGCACCTGACAAGCTGGCTGTTGTCTGCAATGGCATGGAAGGGATTTATTACCCAAGTCTACATTTGTGAGTATTGAATTTAGTCAAATAGATCTATTCTAAAGTTTTAACTTGGTTTTGAAAGACTTAGTTGCCTTTTGGAAAAACTAATTGTATGGAAATTGGTAAGTTTATACGTCCTTGATGGTTAGAGATATCTAAATATCAAATGTTTGATATTTTGCAATTTTGTTTTCGTATTGGTTTGCTTATGGAAAATGTTGTGCTGATTTATTTAATTGGTTTGAGAGATATATTTGTGTGTAATTATCTCATATGTATAAACAATTTAATGGAAAAATAATAAAAATAAGAATATATATTAAGTGTACTAGCTGTCAGCTTTTTATTCTGTTGTTTCCGTGTTGCTGTTCTTTTCATTGCTTGCTACATAAATAAAGGCGTGGTGCTTGGTTTGTGTAAGATTTGAACTTTGATTGCTGCAGCAAATATATTTCTTATACGGACTAGGTATTTGGTTTTACACTTGCATTGATGTCTTAGTAGTGTACGAAGAACCATGTTGAAGTTGTAGATGCTAATGATATGTATATATATATATATGTCTTCGATTTTAGTTCTTTTTCCTCTTATTTCCAAGGCAATTTAAACTATACCTTTCTGAATTTCTTTCTGGTCGCTCCTCTTTTCAGGGTTCAGTGCATTTGTAGCTCTTGCGGTACAAGAAAATACGGGCTCAGTGAGTGGGAGCGGCATACGGGTTGTAGAGCAAAGAAATGGAAATATAGTGTGAAAGTGAAGGAATCTAATCTAACTCTTGAGAAATGGGTATGCTCCTTGACACCATAATTCAAAATTATTTACACTTTATGGTTCCTTGATAGTATCGACAAACCATCTCAATGGCCATTATCTATCTATATTGCTCATGTTGCTTATGATTAAAAGTCTTGGTTCCCTGTCCATGCTCTCAATCTTAACAGCCGCAAATACATGAATATTCGAAGTTACTGTTATTATTATTATTTTTGTCCTGAGATAAGTGTGCTGCAGATGGCGGAGTTCAACATAAATGCCTACAATCCTGTACAATTAGACAAAAGGCAGTTGCTATCGTTTCTGAAAGGTTCTATCTTGTGATTTCTTTTGATGGTACCTCTAATTTTTGTGGGTGATGTATTTTAATGTCTGATAAGTTCCATTTCGACAGAAAGCTATGAACCTGTACAAGTGAAGTGGACGACAGAACGATGTGCCATTTGTAGATGGGATGAAGATTGGGAATACAATAAGATAATTATATGCAACAGGTTTGGATATACTCTGTTACAATTGCGCGGTTGATATTATTAAAGCCATTCGTTAAGTATATATACTTTTTGGGGTTAGATGTCAAATTGCAGTTCATCAAGAATGCTATGGAGTAAGGAACACTCAGGATTTTGCTTCATGGGTTTGTCGAGCATGTGAGACTCCAGAAGTTGAGAAGGAGTGTTGCCTCTGTCCTGTAAAAGGCATGATAATTAGTGTAGCTTGATTTCTCATTGTTGAATAGAAATGTATGTTGGTTAATTTTATGTAGTTCTTACTTGATGGAAGTTTTGTTTACAGGGGGTGCTTTAAAGCCAACTGATATCGAAGCTCTATGGGTTCACGTTACATGTGCGTGGTTTCGCGCTGAAATTGCATTCTCAAATGCAGAGAATATGGAGCCTGCAGTTGGACTTTTAAGAGTTCCTCCAAGTTCATTCACTAAGGTAGATTCATTCAAAGTACTGATGACATTTTCATATTTTATTTTAGATTTTCTTTCTTCGATTGCTAGAGTATCATCCAGAATATCTGCTAACCTGATTTGATGACCAGATTTGTGATAGTGTTCATAGACTCTGTGTTAATTGTAAAAAATGCTATCGAGTTAGACTTATTTGATTTTAATCTATCCAGTGATCCTAGAACAGAATTCTTTACATTTTAAAACTTTGAACTATGCAGGCATGTGTTATTTGCAAGCAGATTCATGGTGCTTGCACACAATGTTGCAAGTGTGCCACCTATTTTCATGCTACATGTGCGTCTCGGGCTGGATACTGCATGGAAGTAAGTCAACGTTTTTTGTTTCTATTGTTATTTTTGTTATTTCTTTGTACCATATTCATCTTGATGACCTAGGGGGTTTCTCTCACTTGCTCTGGCAGTTGCTTTACGCATAATGTTTATGGAACATTTTACCATGATGTGCATTTGTTTAGTTAAATAGTGCTAACTTTAGGTTACCTACGATAGTTTGATTATTGGCAATAGAATTTGTTTTCTCATCTGGCTCCTCCTCGGCATGTTTTGTCTGTGTATGAATATAGTGGTTTGTCTGTGTATGAATATAGAAGTCCTATTTTATTTCAAGGTCAGATATTGTGAGTAGTAAGTAGTCTTTATTGGTTGTAGTTTCTTTTATTTTCGAGAGCAAGAAACTAACAAAATTGATATGGGATGCTTATGACTTTATCATTGTTTTTTTATACACACCTGCGCATATTTATTTATCTTTTAGAGAAAAATAGTGGGTTTGTATTGCCTGAAAAGTTGTGGTTCATGTTTATGTTTTTGGTTTGTCAGTAGTATGTGATAAAGTGTGCAGCTATAAATAATGATTGGATTTTGAACACCTGTGTATATTCTGAGCATTTCGTATATATCTGACTTTGAACACAGTTGCATTCCTCTGAGAGAAATGGGATGCAGAACACAAAATGGATATCATATTGTACAGTTCACAGGTACGATCGTGCTTTTATTTTGCTATTACCTATCCCATCCACACACATAACAGGATTGTGCACTCCTGTTTTTGTAGTTAATATATACAAGTGTAAAAGTACGATTGTGTGCTCAATCATATGTATTGATATGCACTTATACGCAATTAACACCAGCAAACACTGTGTTAGTGCCTTCATGCTAAATACTTAATATTGCCTCAGAACACCTAATACCGAGGCTGGACTAGTGGTACTAACCCCACAGGGGGTTTACACCAACCGAAGTATGCTTCAAAATCAGGGTCAAGAACAGAGCTTAGGAGGTTCAAGGCTTGCAGTATCGAGGATTGCTGGAGACTCTAATTCATCTACTGCAGATGCAATTGAATTAGAGGCAATGTCTGCTGCGAGGTGTCGCACCTACAATCGGTCAAACTTGAAGGTGGTTTTATAGCATTTATCCCTACTAGAAGATTAATTATCTCAGAATGATTTATTATTTATATGTTCGGTGCTCTTTCTTTCTACGAGCTGCTGCTTTCTTGTCTCACCTGCTTTCTCATTTTTCTCTTATTAGAGGACTGGACAAGAACCTACATTCCACCGCTTGATGGGACCCCTTTGGCACTGTCTGGTTGATATCGATCGATTAAGCACACATAACGAAGTAATTCTTACCCCATGTGCTCTGATTGTCAAAATTTTATTCTCTGTTCTATAAATTTATTTATTATTCTGAAGACTAATTTAGCTCATTCTTTTGGTATTCTTTCTGACATTGTTAAGAACACTGAGGGTGCAAAAGATTTCTTATCCTTAAGAGAACGGCTCGAACTTTTGCAGGTAAATATTATTTATATGACATTGAACATTTCATTAATGGTCTCTAGATTTTTGTCGCACAAGATTTTCCCATCCAGTCATAAGGATTGTCATAACTTTTACCACAAATTTGATGTTTCAGAGGACAGAAAATTATCGTGTTTGTTTTGGAAAATCAAGAATACATGGATGGGGCCTCTTTGCTAGGAGAAGTCTTCAAGAAGGAGATATGGTAATGCTTTAACTATCGTCGTTTTGCGATTAGCAAAATTATATCCATCTAGCAATCATTTTGTTGTTTCTTGATCCTGCAATGCTCCATCTTCTCAATTTTTATTTCTACTTTTCAGATTGCTGAATATCGTGGTGAGCAGGTGAGGCGTAGTATAGCAGACCTAAGGGAGGCACGATATAGATCAGAGGGCAAAGATTGCTACGTGAGTATATACATATTTTCCCTTGTTTAGATGTTCTTGTCTAATATAGCTTCGCTATTATTGAAAATGCATGTATCGATTTCCTCACGTCTTGTCCGGCCCATATATATCTTTTAATACATGAACCATGATATAATCAGTTTGATTGCATTTAGTCTGGCTTTGGATGTAAGCATGTGGATTATTTTGTTATCTTTCTTTCTTGTTTTGCTTTAGCATTTTAGGCGTACCTCGATTTCTCAAATGTACTCACTGATTGAATGCAGTTGTATTGAATATATCCGTAATTTATGTTTGTTTCCTACTCTCTGTCATGCAGCTTTTTAAGATTAGCGACGAAGTAGTAATTGATGCCACCATCAAGGGGAACATTACTCGTTTGATCAATCATTCGGTAACCACTCTTTACTTGTGATGTTCTATCTGTCATGTCCTTTATAAGATCTATACTATACCTGTTTGCTCGTCTTCTTGATTCAATGATGTGTAAACTTGTACAGTGCATGCCCAACTGTTTTGCGAGGATCCTGAGTGTAGGAAAAGAAGAGAGCCGGATTGTTCTTATAGCCAAAACCAATGTCTCGGCTGGTGATGAACTAACGTAAGCCATTATTTTTCCTGTCTTTATTCCGCAATGCTGTTACCATCTCCTCTTGAATTTGAATAAACTTACTAACATATCTATCTCTCCTTTCGTGCTTACAGGTACGATTACTTGTTTGATCCAGACGAACGGGATGATGTCAAAGTGCCTTGCTCTTGCGGTGCTCCAAACTGCCGGAAATTCTTGTATTGAAGAGAAAAGACTCTGTAAACTGTTTATACATACAACAGCTACCGATAAAAACTAGCTGACACCCCCTCCCCCCCCTCCCCCCTCCTGCCATGCCCGACGGGGCAGACTGTTGGCGACTCTTCTTCAATTTACCAAAAGTTATGATTTGGGGACATAGAGATTGGCAAACCTGTGCCTAATTCATTCACCTGTTTTTCTTAGTTTTAATAAAAAAAAAAAAAAACTCTTTGACCTCTTGTGCTGTCCTTCCATTGTTTTGTGAATATACCTTTCCATATGCTTTGGGATGTTTCTTGTAGATTTGCAGCAAAGGGAATTTTCTAAAGCTAAATGAAGAAACCAATGCATGAGTTTTGTCTTCGTTTTGTTTGTCTGTCAAATTTAATTCGTTATTTATTAGTTTCTTGTTCTTGACTATGCATAGAGCTCAAATGGCCCTCCATGGATCTTTGAACAGATATCTTTCTGATGGAACCATATTCAATAATTCTACTCATCCTAACTATCTTGAACCTTTCCTTTATTCATGGCCAGAAAACTTGTCCGGTCTCCTTCTGCGGCGGCAGCGCGACGCCGATCCGCTACCCTTACAAGATCGACGGCGAAATTCCTCCCCAGGATGACTGCGCCTACTTCAACCTGACCTGTGCAGCTCAGAGAATCTGCGCGACGAACCTTCCCATTCCGGCCGGGAGCTTCTGCGTGCAAGATATCGACTATTTGAACAATCTCATCCAGCTCTATGATCCTGGAAATTGTCTCATCGGAAAGCTGATGATGATGAACTTCACATTTGATTCTTCTCCTTTCCGGCCTGCGCCGCAGCAATACTTCACCTACGCGTTCTACGCCTGCGCCTTGAATGCTCCGGTCTTGCTGGCCTCTCGTGTTTATCCGCTTGGCTGCTTGAGCAATTACACGCACGTTACTATAGCAACTCGCAACCTGTCGAGTTATCTTTTGGGAAGTAGCTTTGGGTGCACGGCCATCGGCACCTGGCCCATCCCGGTTGGCACGCTCCCACGGCAGTTCGTGGACGACGAGGGATCCGTCTCTAATGACTTCTTCTTGTTCTTGACATGGGATCTCATCCCTGTCTGCAAACATTGTGAAGGCATTGATGGCCAAGAATCAGGCATGAAGCTTACTACCTTCTTCTTCAAACCATCATCATCTTTGTTACCCATACATTTACATACATATATATATATATATAGTTTCCTAACTAGACTTTTTATCATATTAGTTTGGTAACTCAAACTAGTTCGGTAAAATGATAAAATAGTCTAATTACCGAACTAAAAAAATCAATTTACCTTTTATATATATATATAGACCATGTTGATTATTATCCTAATCAACACATGAACATATAAATTTGCAGGTAAACGGGGAGCAAGGCTAATGGCCAAAATAATTGCAATAGCCTTAAGCTTGCCTGCCCTTATTGTATTGGCCTTAAGCTGTTGCTCTGTATTTTGCTTGCACTTATTGAGGATGTTGGAAAACAAACGCCGAGCCGATTCATCCGGCGCCATCGAAACACCTCAAGCCACCACGGCGCCACAGCTGCCAACAGCCATTGTCGCCGGACTTGATGAGCTTCAAATCGAGGCGTGCACAAAGATAATTTCTTTTACTGAAACCAGAGAAGATGACAATAGCATCCCAAATGCTCACTCTAACACAACATCGACGTGCTCCATATGCTTGGATGGTTACAGCCAAGCGAACAGATCATCAGCGAGGCTCATCGACAAGTGTGGGCATTACTTTCATGAAAGCTGCATACGACAATGGCTCGGGAAGAATGGATCGTGTCCGGTTTGTCGAACTTCTCTTGCAGACAATGCGTTGTAACAAAATTGAGGAAATCAAGAAAAGAACATATACAAAATAACGATAATTCGGTTCCGTTCAAAATATCATATTGATATTTATCTATGTTACATTGTACAATTGTTCGAATTTAATATCTTTTACTATTTAGAATTCAAACTCAAAATTCAAATCTCAACCAATCACACCAGTATAATGACGATAGCAAAATTTTTATCATGTATTTAAACTAAAGATTAAAATTTAAATGGATAGATGAAGTGGTTGTTATTCATAATATAAATATAAATATGACCAACAAGTTTAAATGAAAAGTAAGAATAAGTAAATGGATAGATGAAGTGATTGTCTGGAGGATTGGATTGGATTTATACTATTTATCCAATTTTTTCTTCCAAAAAACATCAAATCGAACACTTATTTTTTATTTTTTTATATTATACTAAAAATTAATTTTACATTCAAAACATCACATCAACACCTATTTATATTCCATCGTACAACTATTCAAATTCAAAATTTTTACTGTTTAAATACCAACTCAAAATCCAAACCCCCAAACAAACACACCCTTAGTGGACTATACCAAAAAACCAAAAAAGTGTTCCTATTGAATTCCTTATCGATTGATCCATATTATATTATGAATATTGTGGAAAATTCACAAATTAAATCTAGCATGGAACTTAAAAACGTTGGACTACAAATGATTAAAAAGTATTTAATTTGAAAAAACATTTTATATATAACATGTTTTTCTTTCTCGTCAATCGATGATAGCTATGAATTCAATTATAATATGCAATGTTTGACGTTAGATTTTATATTAAAAATAAAGATTGGACGTAATATTTTTTAAAAAATAATATTTAATTTAACACGAATGAACATACCTAAATTCGTATAGAACTAATTTGATTAAATAAAAACCTTTTAGCATTTCTAAACCTATGAAATAAATACCCTTTAACACATCATTAATAAAATTGTATTACTATTACTTAAAGTTTCTTTATTACTATTAATTATTTATTCATGGCATAGCATTTCATTTTTTATTTTTTTTAATATATATGTATTTATAGTAATACATATCACACTTAATAGGAGAAAAAAAAAACATTCAGCATTTTATATAACGTGCCATAATATTTTCAAATTTATTAAACAATATTTATTTATTTTTTATTTTTTTATAACAGGGTAAGCACATCAATGAATGCCCTACCAATAATAAACAAAATAATAATAATAATAATAATAGTATATTAGGGTTGGAAATAGTTCAAAATGTTTAGCTAAATAGGCCTGGACTGTTTTTAAAAAATATATATGATGCATTTGATAATTAGCGGATAGTTTTTAACTGTTAGCTAATTCAATTAGCTGTTAGCGGTTAATTGATTCAATTAGTTGATTTAATTAGCTGTTTGTATTAAGTGTTTGATAAAACAACTGTTTTATATATAAAATGATTATTTAAGATATTGATATGTTATTTTTTAAAATATTTAATTTTGTTCATTTTGGTTTGAAATTTATGATAATTATTGTTATTAATTATTGAAAATTATAAAATATTATAAAATATTTATTTTTATTTTTATTATTTAAATTTAAGAAAATTATTTATACTAAAAAATAATACTCCCTCCGTCCCACATACCGTGTCTGCTACACTGTAGACACAGTATTTTAGGAGGGGTGTAATTAATAGATAATTAAGAATGTATTAGTGAAAATAATTATAAATTAAGATTAAGATAACTAATTAGCTTAATTAAAATTTTTAAAAAAATAAAATTAAAAGTTTAAAATGAGATTAAATTGTGTAATCATTTTCCAAAAAAAAAACGAAAGTAACATGGTATATGAGACGGACAGAAATAGCAACATGGACATGGTATGTGGGACGGAGGAAGTATATATTGTCATTTTAAAAAAAAATCTTTACTATGAAATATACAATTTTTATAAAAATATATTATTTGTATACAAAATATTCGCATTAACACTTATTTTATCCACGTTATACTACAATTACAAAATAAACGAAGACCAAGTGTACCCTACAAATTTGTCTATTACGACACATTTGACATAAAAAAGATACTCCGTCCCAAAAGAATTGTTTTGTTTTTCCATTTTCGTTCGTCTCAAAGTAATTGTCATGTTTCCTTATTTAGTAATTGTGATCCCCACTTTATAACAAAATTATTTATACTTTTTCAAACTACCCCTAATTACTATTCTAACCTACTTTTTAAAATCCTTCAAAAAGTAAAGACATTTTAGTCTTTTACATTCTATTTTATACCCACTTTCAATTAAATATTATTATTCCTTAATTCCCGTGCCAATTCCCAACAAGACGCTTTTTCTAGAACGGAGGGAGTGTATGATTTGCATGTGTAAGTTTTACTTTTTTCAATCTTTTTATAAATAGAGATTGTCAGAAAATATATAAAATGTAATAAACAACGTATTCGGACTCTCAACCTAGTGATTTTGTACACTATAACAAGTCATCATTGTTAAGATCACGATCAACTATGTGGTGATGTGTTAGATTATATGAGAACTTTGAATTAGCTTCTTTTTTCCTTTTTTTTTCTTTTTTTTTTTAGATGTTTTGCTTTTCTATTTCACAACTTTAGATTGTTTATCTTACCTTTGTCTTTGTCGACGGAACGATAGAGACTTCATTTAATTTAAAACAATTTAGGCCAGAGGCAGACCTACGTCAAGGCTTGAGTTAGGCATCCACATTTCTTGGAAGACTTTTCAATCAAATTATCTTTGGCGATTTATCTGACTTTGGTCTTGTGCGATTTTTTGTTGTCATAATCAATACAAATTCAAACAATCAAATCTTCAAATTATATCTTATTCCGCTCATGTTTGAAATTGCTTCAATTCAAAGGTAACTTTTTTTTTTTTTTCTTTTATCGTCACACTCTTGATAATATTTTCAATAACACCATATCCTCATCAATGATTGAGTAAATTATGTGTTGAAATTCTTTTACTTGTTTAATGATGAAACAATCATCTACATTTTATAGTCAATAAAACGGATCAAACATCTTGGGTCCAATATTTTTGATCTTGTATTTATTTTTTTAGGGTATTTCACAACTTGTTAGAAATCTTTATTTTATACTAGTATATGTTATAAAACATATTAGAAAAACTACTTAATAGGTGTTTTGAGCCATGTAGTCTCTATGGGCCAATGAGGCAAAATTGGTGCGAGTCTAATGTCTGTATTGGCTCCTGCATTGTTAGGTCATCTTGAAATATAAATATTGCAAAACCTATGAATATTAGGTAGAACAATATCTTCTTTGGTCATTGCATGAAATTTAAACTCGCAAATGGTTTGGGCACCAACGTTTAAGGTATCACTCTTGGGTCAAACCTTAGGTAGTATTCTAGGCTGCAAAAACCGTAGGGGTAGTAACAAATCCCAAGAACCTTTCGGACCTACTTGGGACAACCTAAATTAAGTTTGCATAAGAACCGATAGTTTGAGCAACAATGCCAATACGTTTGGCGGTAGCGGCGACAACAAGTCTAGCGGTAGGGTAGCGATTACGGTATTTAAATTTAAAATTTAGTACATTCAGTATCGTGTTGACAACATGTTGTGTACTAAAAAATAACACACAATAGTACTAAACAAAACACATTGTATGCATTAATATAATACATATACAACATATGAACTAACAACATATACTATAGTCTCACACAACATACACAACAGTTGAGTTTAATACACCATATACTGTTATACAACACATTTTTAATTATAAACAAACAACGGATGCCCTTATTATATACATGTCTGTTATAAGACTGTGTGTTGTTTGTATATATTACGAGTGCTGGGTGCTGATTTTTTCAATTTAGCACCGTAACCATTCCCTTACTGCTAGTGACAATAGGAGCGTTGACTCCAGGAGTGACCTCTTGGGTTGACTTTAAGAGAATTACAATTTTCAGTTAGACTATTGGAATTTCGGCCGTATTGATTGTGTAAGTAATTTGATCAGTGGACAATTTTTTTCGCAGTAGAAGTAAATATTTGTTTTGTAATTATTACAACGAATCACGATAAAATAATAAAAATATATTGAAGGAAACTCTCTTTTTGCAAAATAAATTCGTCTTGATAGTGCTTCCAGTCATCGGTATAATGTTTTCAAAGATTAAGCGACGATATTTTCAAATTTGTATGGCACTTTAATATTTTAGAAAACTAGAAAGAGCAGAGGAGGGTAAATGATGAAATTTTTTATGTTTTTAGAAAGAGAGAAAACTCATTGTATAGGTCATTAGTGCCGATCATCAATGTCACACATGCCACTTGTATGATGGCCTCGTACTTTTATAGTTTTGATACCAAAATTCAAAGGTTCGAATATTGAATTTTAGAACAAAATTAGGCTTTGCCAAACTAAATAGTTACCAAGTCTCGCAATTCGTAAGCCATGACCCATATACGTGTCACTGGTAGGTCTTCACCAACGGATGACATATACACGTGTGGCTCGACAACTTTTACATACATTAGTTACACTTTTATATTACATTAATTAAAAATACTTATCTTTAAACACATTGTAACTAACTAAGATGTAATTACAAACGTAAGGACAAAATTCCAAAATTTAATGAAGTTAATAATTACTTAGGTTGTGTTCTTTCAAGTCAAAATATAAAAAAATAGTACCGTTATTAAAAAATATTACCCAATAATTAAATATCATTCAATAGAAGTCAACAACTACATATATCTAAGAAAAGTCAAGAATATAATTCAAATATACAAAATGTTATTTTCTATAATACTAATATAAAATCTCATACTTAACGACAAAAATACCTTTTTAACCCTAATTAATTGAAACATTTCTATTAATTAATTTATTCAAACCATATCATTTCGATCGTTTTTTATTATGATACTGATTAGAGATTTATTAACACCATATTGATTGTATCAATCAGCATACTATAGATTGAATATGAAAATATAAAAGATAATATATATTGTATAAAATGTTAGTATGTGCTGTTAGTTTTATTTTATATGTGTTGTAAATTTATATATATATATAATATAATGTGTTGTCTAGTAGTATATACTACTTCCGTTCGTCTCTAAGGGTCTCATTTATTTTTTATCGTGATAATATTTGAATATTAATTATTATATGAAAACATAGTACAAATTAAGGGAAAATGACAAAAATACTTTTATTAGAGTCTTATAATACTATTATAATGACATTTGTGAAAAAAAATTATACAAATATAAAAATATTTTTAATGTTAAGTACAATGACACAAAAAGATAAGGGTAAACTGTTTTTTTAGTCCCGTAACTGGACTCCTTTATCATTTTAGTCCTGTAAGTGGAGCTTGTCGCAAACTAGTCCCATAAGTGAAAAATTTTCGTTGTTTTAGTCCTCCGGCTGGAGACGCCCGCGTGGCTCACCGGAGGTGACGTGTCCGCCAGGTGTCCCACCAGGTCAGCGACACCTGGCGGACACGTAGATTTATTTTATTTTTTTTTTAATTTTTTTAATTTTTTTTAATTGGATCAAATAAAAAATTAAAAAAATACAAATAAAATTTTAAATAAATTAAAAATAAGTTTAAAAAAATTTAAAAAAATGAAAAAAAAATAAAAAATCTGGCGGACACGTCACCTCCAGCGAGCTACGCGGGCATCTCCGGCGCCGGATGACTAAAACAGCGAAAATTTTTCACTTATGGGACTAATTTGCGACAGACTCCATTTACGGGACTAAAATGATAAGGAGGTCCATTTACGGGACTAAAAAAACAGTTACCCAAAAGATAAATAAAGTTCTTAAAGTCGGACGAAAAAAGTACTACTTTACTATTAGACTCCGTTTAGATTGGCTTCTGGTAGGAGCTTTTGGCTTCTGCTTAAAAAAAAAAAAAAAAAAAAAAAGCAGTTTGCACTTGTTTGCATGGACTTCTGTCCAAAAGCAGAAGCAGCTTTTGAAGGTGAAAAGTGCTTTTTTGAAACACATTGGGGTAACTTTTGAAATAAACAGAAGTACTTTTCAGTTAAAATTATTATTTTATCTTTAATAATAATAATAATAATAATAATAATAATAATAATAATAATAAATACAATAATATAATATAATATAAAAATAAATAACTTATATATTATATTTTAAGGCCTGGTTTGGATTGGCTTCTGGCAGGAGATTTTGGCTTCTACTTCTAAAACAAGCAGTTTGCACCTGTTTGCATTGGTTTCTATCCAAAAGCAGAAGCAACTTTTTAAGTTGGAAAAGTATTTTATTTCAAAAGCACATTGGGGTAAGCAGAACTACTTTTCAGTTATTTTATCCTTAATAATAATAATAATAATAATAATAATAATAATAATAATATTAATAATAATAAAAATAAAAGAATAATAATAATAATAATAATAATAATATTAATAATAATAAAAATAAAAGAAATATAATAATATAATATAATATAAAAATAAATAACTTATATATTGTATTTTAATACCAATTAAAAAATATAATTAATTTATTATTTTTAATTTATGTACTATATTTGGATTAAAATTTAAAATTTAAATACCGAATGTAAATAGAAGTATATAAATTTTTTAATTATACTTAAATTACTAAATATAATTTATAAAATTTTAAAATAAATTATAAAATACAAATTATGTAATATTATACTATAATTTTATGTTTAATTGATATATTGTCCTTAAATTAAAATTTTAAAATATAAATAATCAAAATTTAAAAGTATATTTTTTATAATTTAATTTAAAATCTTTAAATATAATTTATACAATTTAAATTGAATTACAAAAGTGTTATAGAAAAATACTAGTATTATATTAACCGCATATCCTTTTAAATAATTTTAACGGTTTAAAAGCACTTTCAACCATATAACGTCCAAATAATTTTTTACGAAAAACTGCTTTTATAATGATTTATCCAAATGCAAAATCGAACTGCTTTTGCTTATTTTTTAAGTCAATCCAAATGAACCCTTAGTAAAATATAATTATATTTAATCAGAACCGTGACAATATATAGCTTAATTAATTAATCCCCAATTCCCATGTCCCGACCGCAACTAACTCTCATCTCCACACCATTTGCATTCCAATTCTAATTTCAGAATTTCAAGGCAACAAATACAATCTTCTACTATTATATATATAGGATTTGATTTGATATGATCTTGTACGAGAGTATTCTGTAGTAAACCATTTGTATAGACGTAGTTGTCATCTGTCTAATTCAAAAAAACACATTACACATTCATTCATTCATCCATAATATATATATATGGCAAACATAGCGATTCTGGGGATGATATCGATGATGATGATGGCCGTGGTTGTAATGAGCTCCGGCGATCACCTGGCAGCGTCGTGCATGTCGGTGGACACCAAGCTGGTTTCGTGCGTATCGTACGTGGAGAGCGAAAAATCGGAGAATCCGCCGAGCGCATGCTGCAGCGGCGTTAAGGCCATAGTAGCCGAGGCGACCACCAAGAAGGATCGCGTTAAGCTTTGCAACTGCCTACAGCAAGCAGTAGAAAAGCTCGGCGATCAAATCATTCCCGACAAGATTACCGGCCTTCCTAAAGCCTGTGGAGTCTCCTTCGACATGCCCCCCATTGCCGATAAGAACTTCAATTGCTCCACGTACGCTCCTCGTCCTCGCCCTCACCCTCGATTAATATAAGGGGAGTTAACTAAGTTTGATTGAGAATTTACCAAGTTCGTGTTTGTTTGGGGGTTTAGATTTTGGATTGAAATTTTTAATAATAAAAATTTTGAATTGAAATAGTTGTATGGTGTGATATGAATAAGTACTGATGTGATATTTTGAATATAAAATTGATTTTTAATATAATATAAAAAATAAAAAATAGGTGTTTGATTTGATATTTTTGAAGAAAAACAGAATGAATAGTAAAGTTTAAGGAGAATCTCCTAAACCCTAAATCCTAAACAAAACTGTAATAGTGTCTTTGTTTAGGGGTTTAGATTTTGAATTGAGATTTGAATAGTAAAAATTTTGAATTGAAATAGTTGTATGATGCTATATAAATTGGTATTATGATGTGATGTTTTGAGTGTAAAATTAAATTTTAGTATAATATAAAAAATAAAAAATAGATGTTTTGATTTTGATATTACTGGGGAATTTTTTTTTTTTTGATGAATAGTTAATTTTAAGTTATTTTATTTCATTCTTTTTGCGGAAGATTGATCCTATTTTAAGTTAATTTGTGCAAATTTTATTTTCTTCACTATTGTTTATGATGAAATGCAGGATTTCTTTCGCCGTGTAAGCTGCTTGCTTGGCTTAATTGGATGAGCATTCAGATCGCTCTCTATATGAAATTATGAGTCTAATTAACTATAATAATGGTATATCAATAATGGTATAAATATGTAATAATAATACTATGTACAAATGTATAATTACAATAATAACACACTTGCTGATGAATTATGTATACGTATTTTCATTTGGTTCATTTCTTGATACATGTATGTATACATACAAGTTTAAGGGCACAAATAAAAAAATAAAAATTTAAAATTTAAAATAAAAAATCGATACAATTGAAATGACCTAAAAAAGAATTAATAAATAAAGTCCAATAAAAAATGACATGGTAGTGTTGAAAATGAACTTATTACAGTAAGGCCATGGGTTCAGACCCCGCCTCAGGGACTCCACCTGCCGCTAACTTTCTTCACTAACGTAATTTGTAGAATATTACTCAATATATACTTCAAGAGTAATAACTGATAAAAAAAAAATAGTAACCCAAGGTAGAATATTTTGTATACTAATATAGTCTCGTACAAAAAAATATAGTCTGTAATTATTTTATCTAAAAAATAGTAAAAATTTAAATATAAAAAGAATAAATTCAAGTAATTTGTTTATATATATAAAAAAATTATTAAATCATATATGTATATATATTTTCATTTAATATATTAAAATATAAATTTTTTATTTATTTCAATTGAAATTTTTGTTATTTGTTAAACTTTAAATTCAATTCCACTTTTTAAAGGAGGAACAAATTTTACTATTTCAAATTCAAATCCGAAACTTAACTCCAAACAAACACACCTATCCGAAAGATCAACAAGAACGAACGTATGGGCTTAATTCGGGTCATGCCAAATTCGAAGTGCATAGAATGGAAGAGTTTGCTTACATTCAATTTGACCCGATCCGATTCGAAATGACCCGATTTGACCCGACCCGACCCGAGTAGAGTTTCCCGAAATGAAAGAGGTGGAGGCGCCCGTCCGTCCCAGGGCGTATGTATGTATGTATGTATGTATGTATGTATGTATCATCTGATTCATGATTCATCACCATCATCATCGCCATCTATCTATCGTTTCGCCCATTATTTATTTATTCGCTTTCCCCCAAATTCCATTTCCGTTTCGGTTCCATCTCCGCACCACACGCACACTGGCGCATCCAATTCCCAATCAAAATCAAATCTCATTCCTCACGTCGTCAATCTAGTTTCAAATTTACCCTAACAAAATCCCGTCTCCCATTCGCAATTTTCGACGTGCTCATCCATCCCCAAAGTTGAATACGAATATTTATTAACGAGAATAAGGAAAGCCCTTTTTATCTGCCGTTTTTGCCTTTTTGGGGGTTCCCCTCTTTCCAGAATTTGTCGATCTTGCCTTTCTTCCTCTTCCGCTCCGCTCATAAACCAAATTGAATATTCTATTCTATGTTCCAAGTGCTACCCGTTGTTTCATTTGCATCCGACCAATATATCTGAAGCGAGTTTCATTAGGTTATTATTATCATATTGTTGTCGTCGTTGGTTTTGAGTTGGATTATTGATCGAATATTTTGTTTATCCGGTTTCCTTCTCAGTCATATTATTGGGGTTTTGGATGGTTAAAAGAGTTTATTATTGCTATTGCTATTGCTATTGCTGTTGCTTTATGCGAATAGGTTGATAGTTTACCCGCTGCAAAGTTGGGTTCTTTTGAGTTTGCTCTTCCCCTCAGTTGGATTTCATTGGGTTTCTTTCGTGTTCAGGGGATTTTTATTTGCTGCGAACTGTGTATTGTAGGTTGGTTGATTAGAAACTGAATTTTAATTTGAATTGAGGTTTGTTCAATTTTTGTAGCTTTAGTTAGGTTTTATTAAAGGTAGCGGTGCATGGGAGAAAATGAGAGATTGCCTGAGTCGGCTGAGCCATTGCCAAATGGTATTTTGCCTGGGGCAGGTCCAGTTATGAGGGCCCTTGATTCGGATAGATGGTTGAGAGCAGAGGAGCGGACAGCAGACCTCATTGCCTGCATTCAGCCCAATCAGCTATCTGAAGAACGGAGGAATGCTGTTGCTAATTATGTGCAGGAGCTCATTATGAAGTGCTTTCCCTGTCAGGTGATTGGAATGATTTTGGGGCATTTTTCATTTCATTGGCCTTTCAAGTGGTGTTGTTTCTTCTAGTTTCCAACACTATCACATATTAACAAGGGGAAAAATTCAGGATTTCTTTTTTCCCAGAATTTATAGGGTTTTGTTTGAATAAATCATAATGCTGATAGTAATGCACTATGGATGCAAGGGATGGAATACCTTTCTTTAACAAATTATTTGCTTGCGGATATATGGGCATGGTAGAAGAATGATAGAGTTTGTCATGATGAACTGATAGGGATTAGTGTGATCATTCTGTGGGATTTTATGTGCTCTATAGGATAACTCACACTGCAGGTGCCATCATTTTTTAACTGAGACCATGGGTATGATGGTACTTGTCCAATGTTTTGCAATTAATCTGTATGTTTCATCCTGAAAAATGTGCTGTCCTTTAAACCGTACTATTGTTGAATGAATGAAATGACAGCTATATCACAAAATTTTGCAGTTTTGGTCTGTCAGAGCTTTTCCACGGTTTTCTTTCCTTTCCTTTTTTTTTTTTTTTTTTCCTTCCAAAAGGCGTAATGAACGATGTGCTTTGTTTGCATTTGTTATGCAGTCCACCTTTTATACCTACTGATTCATCTTCTCTTATATTCATTCAATTGGAGCAGGTCTGCACTTTTGGTTCTGTACCCTTGAAGACTTATCTACCTGATGGAGACATTGATTTGACTGCTTTCAGCCATGATCAAAATCTAAAAGATACATGGGCCAATCTGGTTCGTGATATGCTTGAAAATGAGGAAAAAAATGAGAATGCCGAATTTCATGTGAAGGAGGTTCAGTATATTCAAGCAGAAGTATGCCCTCATAACGAACCTGACCTTATGTTACACTAGTTTTTTCTATTTGAACTTTCTCTAATCGCTGCTTCTTTTTGTGTGACTGGTTTTCACGTATTCAGTCTGCCATCCATTATTATTATTATTACCATTTATTTATTTATTTCCTGCAGAGCAGCACTGGTATGGTGTCTTGGTTGATAGTTACTTGGGAAGATTTTGATAGTCTTTCTCATTTCTCTGTGGTCAGAAAAACAAAAGAAACAAATATTCTACTAGTATCTGGTGTTTCTTTTGACTACCTTTATGATTGTAGAGCCTGGAACATTAGATGGAAGCTTTGGCACTTTAGGTGGTGGAATTGTGATGGAATATACTTTGATGCTATGGAATTAGTTTTAGTAGACGTTAATTTTACCTAATAAAGAAGTTGTAGGTTAAATGGATGTTGACATTACTATACCATCTGCTAGACTGCAGCCATTTTGTTTTGACTTACCTAAGAAATTGCTGAACTCTTGTTTTTAAGTCATTGTAGTTTCTTTTTTCTATTTTGCCTTAACATATGGTTTTTGGTGTCATTTTTTGTCTTATGTTACAGGTGAAAATAATCAAATGTCTTGTGGAAAATATTGTAGTGGATATATCTTTTAATCAGGTTGGGGGGTTATGTACACTCTGCTTCCTTGACGAGGTGAGTTATGCATTTTGATTGATGGATGTGTATGAGAACTCTTTAAGTTCTGTGAACACCTATATGTTGGTCTGATGAAAAAATTTATCTTTGTCTAGATTGATAATCTTATAGATCAAAATCACCTGTTCAAGCGTAGTATTATCTTGGTTAAAGCTTGGTGCTATTACGAGAGTCGTATATTGGGAGCTCATCATGGACTCATATCTACATATGCCCTGGAGACCTTGGTTCTTTACATATTTCATGTGTTCAACAATTCCTTTCAAGGACCTCTCGAGGTAAATTATTTACCCTTTTGTAGATCTTTATTCTAAATTATGTTCCTTGGTTGCAATATGAATTACCCTTCGAAACTCTTGCAGGTTCTTTATCGCTTTTTGGAGTTCTTCAGCAAGTTTGACTGGGACAATTTTTGTGTTAGCTTATGGGGACCGGTACCCATCAGCTCTCTACCTGATGTTACAGGTATTTTTTTATGCCTTATATAAATTGATTACTAAGGGTGTGTTTGTTTGGGGGTTTGGATTTTGAGTTGAGATTTGAATAGTAAAAATTTTTGAATTTAAATAGTTATATGATGTGATATAAATAGGCGTCGATGTGATATTTTGAATGTAAAATTGATTTTTAGTATAATGTAAAAATGAAAAATAGGTGTTTGATTTGATGTTTTTGGGGGGAAAAATGGGATGAATAGGGAAAAGTAAATCCAATCCCCCAAACAAACACACCCTAAATGTACTTGATATGGAAAATATCTTTGTATTCTTACTGATCTGTGGATTCCATTTGAATATTCACAGCGGATCCGCCTCGAAAGGACAGTGGAGAATTGTTGCTTAGCAAAAACTTTCTTGAGTCTTGTAGCATTGCATACTCTGTTTTTCCTGGTGGCCAGGAAAATAGTGGACAGCCATTTGTTTCAAAACATTTTAATGTAATCGATCCATTACGAGTGAGCAACAATCTTGGGCGTAGTGTTAGTAAAGGTAACTCTGGCTTGAAAAATCTCTATTAGTTTACATTTATGCTTTGATTGTCTTCAAGATTATTTTGATACTTTAGTCTTCTGTCTAATACACTTTATAAACTGGTCTATTTGACCTTCCTAATTCATAATTTCATAGGGATGGCCTATTAGCGTTTGTTCTTGTGGTTTGGAATCATTCTCTCTTATTAATGCAAGAATATGTGCTTGAAGAATTTTTTTTGCTGTTTATTTTGTCCAAGAAAACATTTAGATTTAATTGAGAGTTGGCTTCAAAATTGTGGTCTACAGGAATAATTACTTCGCTACAGTGACTACTGACTATGATCTTGTTTTGCTGTATTCTCAAGCTTAGGATTTGGTTTTGGGGACATCTATGATACTACAATGGTGCCTTAACTATAGTTTCATGTGATTGATATGCAGAAGTGTGTATCACAATCTGAGGGAAAGTAGGAAGGAGTGGGGTTTTGGATGACTAAGGAAAATTTGGGATCATCACTCTGCACCCCCTTATACATATTGTTCCATTCACAAATTTGTCATGTAAAAGAATTATTTGATTCGAAAATGTCTGAGAATATTATTGAGCTTCACGACAAAGAAATGGTCCATGAGAGTTGTGCAAATGAAGCCTTAGATGATTTATCATATGGTTTTGCATAGTGTGTGGAAAAGTTTTTATATATCTCCTGCTCATGGTTTGAAATGGAGAACAATGTGATTTGATGAATATCAGTTAGTTGCTATTTGTACTTTATCTGAGCAAAGTCCCTTTCCATGACTAGGTTATTTGATATTAAATCTAAACGTCAATCATCTTATTTCTTCTTTCTTTTTTATTTTTTGCCGAAAAGCATTCTAATGACTACTTGCAGGAATCTATAATTGCTGAATAACTCTGCATGACTGCCCCCCTTCTAATCGATGTGATATTGTATTCTTGTTTCTCAGGTAATTTCTTTAGGATTCGGAGTGCATTTGCTTTTGGAGCTAAGAGACTGGCCAGATTACTTGATTGCCCCAAAGACAACTTAATATTTGAAGTCAACCAGTTCTTCACAAATACATGGGAGAGACATGGAAGTGGTCAGAGGCCAGATGCGGCTGGGGATGTCTTATCGCAGAAGAGATTATCAACTCCAGATGATCTTTCTGATTTTAGGAATTCTAATAATATGGGTGGGAGTAATGTAAATGCAAACTCGGTGGTTCATGAGAAAGAGGACAGGGGAAGTCATGGGCGCAGTGTTTCTTCACAGCATGGGGGAATTGCTGCTACTGTTATGCCAGCACGTGAGGTATCTGCAGCTTCCCACATACAAAATCTAAAAAGTAAAAATCCAAACATGTTACAGATTCCTGATCGACTGGGAAGAAAGAATGTCTCCGCAAAGGTTTCTGTTAGCAATGAAACTCAGAAAGATTTGAAAGTTGATCATCTGGCGAGCATACCCCAGGGACGATTTCTTTTTGCTCGAACCCACTCAAGTCCTGAACTAACTGATGCTTATGGCTATGTCTTATCTCAATCACAACATAACAGACAATCAGAAACTGCATACCCACATGGTACTTGTTCAAATACAGATGCAAATAATAGAAAGAAGTACCATGGATCTGAAAGCCTGGGAAGCCACGTTAATCATTCTTCAGTTACAGATACTTCTTCTATGAGGAATGCTTCATCTCTGGATACTTATGCTACTGATTCCAGTCATGCTTTAAATACCTATCTCAAAGATTTGGGTTCTAATGCTTTCAGTAAAGAGTTTTATGCCAACTCTGAAGCTCAAGATGGGCAGCTGGAAAACCAAGATATTGTGAATATGATGGCATCTGCTTCCCTTCAAGGTTATGATGGCCAGTTTCATGTTCCTTCCCATATAAATGCAGCTCATGTACCTTTCTCCATCCCTCCATCCTTTCTTACTTCTATGGGATATGCTCAGCAGAATTTGTCAGGATTGTTTCCTTCACATATTCCATTGATCAATCCATCTTTCACTAATTTACAATTTTCTCATGGTTTAGTTTCGCCACAGTTGCAACAATATTTCCATGGCTTTAGGGTGAATTCACCCTCTGAAAATTCATTTGAGCAAAGCAATGACAATTTTGATTCTATGGAGGTAAACTTGGAAGAAGTTGATAATGATATCTGGAAGGAGCAAGATGTCTGTTCCTCTAGTGGCTGTGACCCTGAGAATGGGAATTTTGAAATGCTCCAGTCTGATGATAAACAGCCAGGATTGATGTCTGGTGCCAAATATGTTCCTCCATGCAGAGCAAGTAGCTCTGCCAATTCCATGAGGAGTCAGCAGAAGAATTTAAGGGGAAAACGTGGATCACGGCGGCAAGGCACTGATAACTTTCCCATACAAGATGATAGAAGTGGTGACGCTTGTGCAGAAGAAACATCGGCTAGTTCAAGATTCTCTTCTGCTACATGCAGTAATTCTTTGAGAAGTAGAACTTCTTCGGAGAGTTCTTGGGAAGAATCCTCAACAAAATCTTCAAAAGAAAAATGTGGGAAGAAAATAGCATCTGCGGATCTATCTACCAGCCATGGCAAAGGCAAGAAAATGTCTGAACATTTAGTACTTGAGACCGAGGACGATGATCAGAAATCTGTTGTCTTGTCAAACAACAGAACTGAAATGGTAGAAGGGCACTCTGAGCTTGAGCCAGGTGTTTCTTTGCAGGCTCCAAGGCTAAATGATTTTGAAGCTGCTCAAACAAATGGTATGGATTCAATGATCTCTTTGCCTCAAATGCTTATTGATCCTGGCCTGAGACAGAAAATGAATGATGATTCTGGGCTAGTTCCTTTTTATCCTGCTGGGCCTCCAGTCCCATTTGTAGCAATGCTTCGATATATTCCACCTGAGAAAGGCAACTCTGATCCATCAATTGGCTATTATGGAGGTGTTGAAACCTTGACAAACAGGGAACCAGTTCATGATTATAGTCATGTGGAATATTATAATTCAGATTCTTCAAGTTCTTTTAAAGAGAAATCTGCTACCAAGACATCTGAAAGAAAAACATCTGATATTCTTCATAGTGACTTTGCCAGCCACTGGCAAAATTTGCTGGTTGGAAGGTCTTGTCAGGATTCACGGTTCCATGGGCCCTTACTCTACCCTTCACCTGTAATGGTCCCTCCTGCTTATCTTCAGGGTCGATTTCCATATGAAAATGCTGGTCGGCCACTTTTGACAAATACAAACATCTTTCCCCAGCTCATGACGAGTTATGGGAACCGTTTCGTTCCTGTAACTCCCCTCCAGTCAGTTTCTAATAGACCTCTCAATGTGTATCAGCGCTATGTGGATGAGATTCCAAGAGCTCGGAGCGGCACTGGGACATACCTGCCTAATCCTGTAAGGATGCAGTTACTTGTTATGCATGTGTCATTATACATGGAAATATATCAATGTGTTATGTCATTTGGATTGATTTAGTCTACTAAATTTTATTAAATATCAAAATTGACGCTCTTGGTTGTTTATTTCCTTATATGGAAAAAATTTAAATATATGGTATGGATGTTTTGACTTGGGATTAGTCCTTTTGGTGTATGATAAGTAATGGTGGTACTTATTACATTGACGGTTCAATTTCTTCTTACCTACACTTTCAGTTTGTTCTGCACGTAATCCATCTTTTCCTAGTCTTTCAAATTTCTTGTAGAATGCTTGAATGTTCATCCTCCTTAAATAGGTCCAGCACTCAGTATAGCATTAATGACCCTTTCCCTTACATTGCTTTAGAAGGTGTCTGGCAGGGAGCGCCACTCAACTGGTACTCGGAAGGGAAGTTATAATCATGATAGGAATGGTATGTATGGTGACAGGGAGGGTAATTGGAATGCTAACTCAAAATCACGTGCTGCTGGGCGCAACCATAACCGCAGCCATAATGATAGATCGAGTATGAGAGTCAACCGTTCTACTTCTTCCGATAGTCAACCTGACAATTCATGGGTTTCATTCAGACATGAATCGTTCCCTTACCAGACACAGAATGGCCTATTGAACTCGAATTCAAATATGGATGGTACTCAGAACATGGCTTATGGCATGTTCCCTCTTGCGCCCACAAATCCCCTTGGAGTTTCCAATGGACCATCTGTTCCACCAGTTGTGGTGTGGTATCCGTTTGATCATAATGCTGCCTATGGATTCAATGGTGAACAGCTTGAATTTGGTTCTCTGGGTCCTGTAGATTTGCCTGGAGTCGATGAAAACTCACACCTAAATGAGGGAACTGCATCCAGAACATTGCAGGACCATGGGCGCAATGGAAACACTAGGCACCAGTCTTCACCAGATCAACCACCTTCACCTTATCATAAGAGGTAATCCAAACTCTATCTTGAAATTATCCAGAAATTAAAACAACTTGAGCTGTTTTATATATTCATTGATGGTGAGTTTTAACAATTAAATTAAGTAAATCTAAAATGATATATCGTTCAGATCATAGCTATAGCTGGGGTGATGCATTATTATGCACCAGTATGTGGAAGGAATGTGGTGAAGAACATTGATTATTTTAATAGTAATGAAGGGTTGGGTTCTAGACTTGAGATACTATTGAGGAGGTGGATATTGATAACTATATAATAAGTTACAGAAATGTCAAGAACTTTTCTTGTCAAGTGTTTAATCTTGTCATGCTGGAAAGGGATGTCCGGGATGACTACAACTGTTTTTTTTCTTCTGATTTGGAGTCGTAATGATAGAGTTTCAAGTCGGAGGACTAGAATGGTTTTCCTATATAGAATCATAAACTTGGCTAGTTATTTATCCGCTGGCACAACGCTTCTTTTCATTGCTTTCCTATAAAAAAAAATTGGATATATTTTTACTTTACTTTCCTTGCAGGACTTGATGAATTTGCTGCCTCCTTGGCTTTTGAAGAGCATTGAGTTGGAAGGACGGCAATTTTCTACATTTTGAATTTCAATTCTGAACAATGTGGTGGTATATATAGTGTGAATGATGAATTCGGTTCCACTCATTATACCCTTTTGTCCTTAAATGTTATATCTGGGTTCCGGCCTGCCCTTGTGGCCTGCATGTGCTAGCATTCATATTTGTAAATAGCTAGTAATCAGATTGCTATCCACTCAAGACTTGGAGGATTTGAAGGAAAGAAGTGGAAATTGCGTAAAAATTCTGTTTAATTGGGTATATTTCTCCTATCATAAGCAGTAGTGTAGCAAGATGTGATGCCATCGAACTAGATTTAGTTGATTGTAGGGCTTTTTTTCCTTACAAAAGTTCCTATGGATATAACTTTAGGGTTTCATATTGTAAAATATTTTCTTGGGCTGAATGTCGACAATATACAGGCTACAGCATGAATGGAAACCAGAGTTTTGCAGAGAAGGTTCAGTCTCACAATATTCTACCCAAACCTCAGACGCTTTTTGTCAGGGTTTCTATAAAGATTACAATCAATTGTGCTCTTTGGTGTTTTTCCACAGGTATCTATCTCAATGCAATGCTGTTCCTGGTTGCTGTCGTAGTATGAAGGATTCTAGAATGACGATAGGTATGTGTTAGCTACAAAATCTCACGATTCTTGTTATCTAGAGCAAACAATGTTTGGATCAAATTATATGGTGCTACTCTATTGTATTAGACAGTTTCATGAGCATTGACTGCTATCTTTCGTTTTTCTGTTCATTTTCTCTACTGAGATAATACACTACAAGAATCTTAAGTTTAAGCACTTTGTAACTGGAGTTCCATTATGAAATTTCTTTACACTGTGAAGGAGGTCTTTGTGGTGTGTATTTACAAATAAATATTCAAATTCACTTCTCTAAACTCCAGCCAGTGCTTTCTCGGTCACGTCTGGCTTGTTATTTTGTATGTTACACTGATAGCTTAACTCATGTCGTGGTTGTGCCGTTAGGAGTGGCCATATCTGGTTTCTCTGTTTCCTTGTTTTTCGAACCACCAGTCTGGTTTGTTCCATTATTACTTCACTCACTGCCTTAGAGTAGTTACTCGAATCATGGTCCCTGATTATAGTACCCTCGGAGCCGTAGGCTGTAGGATCACTTAATATTTCTATGGGATGAGGAGAATTCAGGAAGGCGCGAATAGCTCTCTTGGTTAAGGTACTGTTGGTATTGTCTAGGGCAAATAGACCTCTGCCTGGAGGAAGCATTGGATGTGGTGGTGAGGACTTCTCATCAGGCTGGAGGATGAACAGTTTTCCCATTGGAGAGTACATCAGTTTCTGCAACGAGGAACATGTATTAAGGATGAGTTAGCTGTCCTGGGAAAACCATAACATGTGATCGATTATTTGTTTCAAGATGATACTCACATTCTTGTTGAGGCAAGGATGGGACCGGAATGTGCCATTGAGACGCTTTAGTACTTGAGTGACTGTGTTGGGGTAATTGCAGGAGAATGCTCTTGGGACAATGTCTCTATGCATCATCACACAATGAACATGGTTGTCATCGAGGCCCAATTGATCCAGAATCTTGTGGCCACCGCAGAAGATGAATGGGGAACCGAATGTGACCACTGGAAGAAGAGCAGATGGCTCAACTACCTTTCTTGTTAGCAGCATCAAGTTGACTAGAAGTGCAAGACTGCCCCCAAGTGAGTGCCCGGTGAATTGAAGCTTTGCTTGGTCGCCGAATCTGTTAAGGTGCTTCTTTATTTCTGGCATGAACTGGTCATATATACCCTTTGCTGCTTCATATATGCCTCGATGGACTAGAACATCAGTTCCCTGTTGCAGATCAGATGACATTTCCTTTTCTTAGATGAATCTTGCTATAATTTGTGGGACGGTGCTTGTGCTTGTGTTCTGATGGCAGTTCTCACCTCAAACTTAGTTGGTTCGAAGAGGAGATTTGCTTGCCAGGAGGCTAACGAGTCTGATCCCTGCAGTTTGCCACAAACTAGTGAATTTATGTTCAATTGTCTCGAATATCATCTGCCTTGGATCAATAGCAGTACCTGAATGACAAAGCAGCGAAGGTTCGTCCTCGAATCATCACAGACAAACCATTCACATGGTGAGGAATGAAGTGACTGAAGATCCTTTGCTGCCTTCTCTTTCTGATTCTCTCCAGCAGCAACCACTGCTGTCATTGTTGATGCTGCCACACATGCCGCCATCTCAGACTTGTGTATTCTACGGGGAGGATAAGTACTCTCATCAACCTGTATCTGGGGCTCTGCTCCTCGGGATATTAAGCCCTTAGCCCGGGACTGGACATAGGATGCAGCAGATGTAGCAATCTCATAGGCAGCAGATGACCGAACCACTGGTTTCTGTTGTGCTGTTGAAACAGGATCTTTAACCTCTGATGATGATGTCATTGTTGATCCCTGTTCGACTCTCTCTTTGATAGCTGCAGCCTCCACCTTCTTCTCCAGGGAAGATGTTACATAGTCTAGCTCACAATATCGTTTCAAATCCTGTGTCTGCAAGAATAGTACTCACACAAGAATATGGTTACATACATGCAACATAAGACAGACCCGGGCAGGGTTTGATCCAAATAAATAAAACAACAATCCATACCTTAAGAGCAGGGATCGCATATGCCATGTTACACAAGAAAGCTAGGTGGGAGAAAATCTTGGCATCTGACCAGGAAATGCTCCTCAACATGGATGAGAAGATCTCTCTATTGAAGGCAGTGTCCCAGCTTTCTTCATCTTCTTCGTATTCCACTTCACACCCGCCTTCCTCTCCACAGCCTTCGCCTTCCTCATCGCCTTCACCGTCACCATCAACTTCCCCATAATCCTCCTCAACTGTACCTTGCTTCCCTTTCCAGTTATTCCGAAGCTCCACGAGTCTCTCCATCCAATTTACCCGCCCCTTACCCTCATCCATATCAGTTTCATAGTCGTCAAGATCACTCTCATAGCTATTGTCTGCATTTGCCTGATCTAGATCGAAGATAAATGACTTTAATGTGTCAGATAGCTGTATGTTGAAGAAGCCAACAGAGGGACTGATCTTTAGTTTGGAAGGAGGAGCAGAGGCAGCCTTGATGGAGCTGGCACAGCAAAGATGGTTGTCAGAATATGAGCGGCGCATGTTAGCCCGTCTGTGCATGTGCAGATCTTTGTTAGACAAGGATCGTCGAAGCTCCCCATCGGCTGCTGCTCTTGGTGTTGGGCTGGTGAGCTGAGACCAGGAGGATGCCATGAGCGCAGGCAGCACTCTTTCTGGATTAGATCTTCAGCTGTTATATTACCAGTGCAACCTGGAGGGAGGAAAGAAACATGTTGACAGAATTTAACAAGGAATATTATATAGAAAGAGAACTCGAGACAAAAATCTCCATCTTGTTTGCAACGAGAAGATACCATTACATCACAACTTCCAAGGATACGTGAGATCAACAGGCAGGGATCAGAATCAGCATCAGCTAGAAATTTAAATTCAAATGATAAAAAAATCAGATTAGTTTTAGCAGGCTCTCGTCCGATCTAATGAAAAGGATCACCGGCAGGACAAAATTGCATTCGCAGGATTGACTCGTCTTAATTATGTTACACCAAAATATAGATAAGCATATAATAAGAGGAAAAGGGATCTAAGGACGTTGCAAACTAAGAAGATTATGATGCATCACAAATAATATATATATATATATATATATGTACGTGTGAGTTGGGGAAGGATGGAAGTGAGCTGGTATCTTGCAATGTATTGATTTGGGATGAGAACAAACACAGTGGCAACACAAGTTTGGCAACACTTCGGAAGGATTATCATCCAACAAGTTAACGAATTGAAGAAGAAACATTTATAACACTCGAGCGAGTAACTACGTATCAGATTTGACATGACGGAATTAAATAATTAATTAGACGCAGTAAGTTCGCATTTTAGTACAATGACGACAAACGAAGGTGTTTGTTCAGAGAGAGAGATGCAAGAAATGATCAGCGCGATGAAGAACAGCATCAGATCGGTTTATGTGAAGAAGGAATAAGTACCTGTAATGGCAATTGCAGCCGCCTCAGACAGATCTTCTTCGATTGACTACCGACTGCTCATCATATGCGTATGTATGTATCAGACCATAAAAAAACACACACACATTGAGAAAGAATGAAGTGAAGATGAAGGAATCAATAAATGGAGTCGGGATGGTAGACGAGAGCAGAAAAGAGAAGAGAAGAGCAGGCGGGAGGGAGAAAGAGCTGAGCAGCAGCCAAATGTGCGGTTGCATGCAGCAAGAGCGTAGTTTGGCAACACTTCTCGCTTCACAAGTGGCGGGTCACTGCTGACCACGTGCTTTTTATTCCCAACTCATCACCAACAATTTCATTTCGTATTCGTATTCCCGTTCTGGTCTGGACTGGACTCTACTGGGCTGCAATCCCTTGATCTCTGTCTGTCGCCCATGGTTTACTCGTTCCAACATTAGGGTAGCTGCAGTAAAGAAGTTCCCCACAGCCACCGCTGAAAGCAACAACAAAGCAAGCCAGCCCATTTATCTCTACATCGTTCTTCACGCCGCCTCGCCCCTTCTCGAACCTACTTTCCCCTTTTCCGTTTCGGGCTTTGATGATGGATTGAGATCATTGACGGATTGATTACATCTCAATTGACGTCAGATGAGGACGCATGGCCGAACAATCGTTTACGCATATCCATGTTAATGCTTCTCTGGCCGGCCCAAAAGGAAACCGAACCGTTGTGGCCTGAAATCGGAGAGTCGGAATCGAAGCACGGCCACCGTTGAGAGGAGGGACCGCCGCGCCGGAGGAGATAAACCTGTCTGAGGAGCCGTGAAAATGGGCAAAAAGCGAGAGCGACGGGCTGGACCCCGTGCGGCTCCCCCGCCGTCCGACAGTTTACCAGACTCGCGCGCTGAACCGTATCGCAAGTTTACGAAATTGTTGCTTCTCTTCCTGGTTCCCGTCATTCCTGCGACATTATATTATACGCTAACGTCACACCCTCCCGCTCTCGCTCCCAGTTGGGATACAGATACCGATCGACCCTATGTTTATCGCCGTGGCCTCGTCACTACGGACATTACCTACAGACAAGTCCTTAATGTACGCCAATTCTTTCCTCTCCATCCGTGCCTTCTTTAGTGATATTAATTTGGACTTCTTTGTAGCTTTCAAATTTAGTAATGGCGTTGAGTTTTAAGAAATCCAGGAACATATGAGGACGTCGAAGAATTCGAGTCAGCGGAATTTCGATAACCCTGTGTTGGCATACATTACACCATGGTAATTACCTTTTTACACTTTATCCTTGTCCGATTAGATACAAGATGTTGGTCCTTGCAAATTTTGTGTTGCCGGGCTGGTGTAACTTACATGATTCTTTAGCATTCAAGTAGCCTTAGTGTTCATGTGCTTGGTTAAATGTTGCAGTGAGTTCATACCAATTTATTTGATAATTGATGGAAAATTTTACTTGGTGTGATCAATTCAGGAAGAAAATATAACTTTTGCTACTTAAATCTCATGATCAATAATGAAACATATGGTTGACTGTCCTAAATGCATTAGAATGAGTTATATGTAATCTGTTTTTTATGTTATTCTTATTATTTTTTTTCATCACTAATAAAGTCTAAGTGAGTACATACTTTATGAATTGTAGTTATACATAACATATAAGGTGACACAATCTTCGATGAATGTAGTTATATGTGATATGCAAGTAGAAATCTTTAAATTTAAAGATCATGTGATATGCAAGTCGAAATCTTTAAATTTCCAGCCATATTTGTTTAAAGTGGTGGCAGTTCATTTTGTTCCATTAAACTTTGAAATTCCTTAGCAAGTTATGATTCAATTCTGTAGTACGAATATGGCCGGTAAAATGTTGTCTTATGCTTTGCGGCAGGAATTCAAAGGGATATGACATGGCCAAGAAGTTCAACAATAAGTTCACTCATCTATCACCTGTGTGGTATGAACTGCAAAGGTTGGTAGACAACTAATAAGATAGATGTTTGTTTCAAGGGAAAAAAGATCCCCTCCTCATGAATGCTCGTCGATTGCATTTTCTCTATTTAACATTTTTATTAATTTTACATGGTGGTATCATTAATATACTTCTTATATTTGTTTGAATGACATTCTAATGATTTATTAGTTTTGTTCCTTGTTACTGTGTCGATTTTCCCTGACCAAGTTCTCTCTTGTGCTGCCAGTCAAGGAACAAACTTGGTTTTGGAGGGGAGACATAATTCAGACAAAGGATGGATTGCAGAGATTAGAAGTAGAGGAAATGTTCTGGTATATCTTTTACTCTGATGTATAATCATGTAGGTTATGACTTGATGCCAAAAGATCAAAAGACTTCCAAACACAACTAAACAATCCTAATTTTTCACATTGTTCAAAACCAATTAGTTGACAGAAACACTTGCTATTTAACACACCTAAAATTACAAAATAGTTATTATATTGGAAAATTAACTGAGTTGTGAATTAGCTTTGAACTCGAAAATAAAAAAAACTGGGGTCTAACAATAGCTAACTGAAAAATTTGGAAGGATCTTCACATTCATCTACATGGTGTGCACCATAGAAAACTATGATTAGTATTATGGATTTGATTATCTGTCTTATTGGTTTGGTGATAGGTTTTGCCTAGGGTAGTGTTGGAAGCTATTCCTGTGGATTTACTGAAAAAGAAAAAGCAGGCGACCAAAGCAATTAATATCATCGTAGCAGAATGCAAGTAAGACCTCCCATTTCTTCATGTATGTACGATGCCATCTGTTACAAATTTGTCAGGGTGCATTTGCACACTCACAATATTCTGTTACTTTCTGTCAATTAAAGGGAAATGGAGTATGATGGTATTGTATTGGAGTCGTGGTCTAGATGGGCAGCATATGGAGTCCTGCATGATCCAGACATGCGGAATATGGTGAGGCAATCTATTTGATTTACTCTCCTTTGGTTTTTATTGGTATTAGTTTTGTTTTGGCTCACTACTTCATGTCCCTTACATTATTATTGCTGATGCAGCCCTTTATTTGTTTGCAGATGATTGATATCATAAGCAATGTTTAAAAACTCCAGTAAATAAATATTCTGAAATGTCATTTCTTAGACCCTGCATCTTAAGCAAAATTAAATTTTGATTCACTGTTAAAATTTAAGTAAGTTTTATAATCTTTTATCAATAGAAGACTCATGAGTCAATGTGCTAAGTTTTATAATCTTTTATCAATAGAAGACTCATGAGTCAATCAATGTGCTTGCTCAGTTTGATGATTAAGTATGGTTGTGAATCCTGATCTCTTGCCCAACCAAAAATATTGAAAAACAAGAAAAGAAATGTGAAATCCGATAGAAAAATAAAAAGGAAATGTGAAATATTTATTACTGAACCAGCTCAGTGATGTAAGTTATGGCAGCTTAGCTTTATGCAGCACTGCGAAAAAAATTTAACTCTATCACAATGATAGAGCAAGTCAATTATATATGCTACTAATGAAGTCAAGTGTTTATTGCAAGCCAGGCTCTTCAATTCATCAAGCAACTGGGACAAGCCATGCATGCTGCAAACTTGCAAGTAGTGTATGTTATAGGTCCACCTCGGTCGGATAAGTTGGAAGAACATGATTTTGGACCAGATGATCTCAAAAGCTTGGGTAATCATGTGGATGGGTTCTCTCTTATGACATACGATTTCTCAGGCCCTCAGAATCCAGGTCCAAATGCGCCATTGAAGTGGATCCACTCCACCTTGTCGCTACTCCTTGATGCCAATGCTGCTCATCATCGAAAGCTGGCAAAAAAGTTATTCATTGGCATAAATTTTTATGGCAATGATTTTGTTGTTTCCGGAGGTACGTTCCACATAGGAAGATTATCTTTTAAAAGAGCTGCCCATAGCCTTGTTTCGTACTTAAATTCTTGAAACAACTCACTACATTTTTGGTAACTAAACAAAGGGACAGTTTTAGTTTAGGAAGTTTATCTTTTAAAAGAGTTGCTGATAGCTCTTCTTCATTCTTAGCTTCTTGAAAGGACTTACTACATTTTCAGTAACTAAGAAATGAACGCAGTTTTACTTAAGCGCCTCTTATGTAAAATGTGCTTAAACATCAGCAATTCAAAATTCATTAGTGAGTTAGAAATGATGGGTGAATTCGTCATTCATTCATCAGTGTAGTTGATCTTTACTTGCTATGTAGTCTTTGGCACACAGGGCTGGAATTATTTTGCTTTAGTGTTCACTTCGGACAATCATACTAGTTAATTGCGCTGCTATTGCACTGCCATGTAGCTGATCATTGCCACTCCATTGTGGTGCGTTTATGCACTCATAGCAATAGTTGCTTGTTGCGGAGGGGTGGTGTGAGATGGAGTGGATATATAACTATTATCTATCAAGACTAGGAACGAGGAAAATAAAATTAAAGAAAGAAGTTATATATTAGATTTTAAATATTACTGATTTTTATTAATCTTGTTTCTGCTTATATAATCATAGATTGTTCTATATTTTGATATTTTTTGTTAGCATAAGACTTTAATTATTAGTTGGAATGATAACTTTTATATGCATATTTTTAAGTTTCAAATAACGGTTACTATGCAATATGTTATCCAGCTATAACATTTTAAGGTTCGATCCTTATTTGCCGCAATTCTAGATAGACAACTATGCTTAAAAGTTCCATGCTTTTATGCCACATTATAGTTTCAGTTGTGGCTAAAGAAGTACTACTAAATCCATATAAATTGGGAAGAGAATTCATTGGATATGATGAAGTGTGTGAGTGTTGTGTTTGATTTGCAGGTTTAGGGGGCGGGCCGATCCTTGGAACAGAATACTTGTCTCTGTTGGAGAAGCACGGTCCCCAGCTGCAGTGGGAGAGGAACAGTGCAGAGCACTACTTTGTGTATGGCGACGAACAGGACACAAAGCACGTTGTGTTCTACCCATCGCTGATGTCGATGTCCATGCGGCTGGAGGAAGCTCTGAGTTGGGGAGCTGGTATCTCAATATGGGAAATTGGGCAGGGTCTCGAATATTTCTTCGATATACTGTAATCCCATCCGATCCTGCAAATGGCCAGGGTCTCTCTTGTAATCTTGGATCGTTTTACTTACATGGCAGTCGTCTTGATTTATATGAAGGCAGGGGAGGGGCTAGGCTAATTTTATATGCTAGCTTTGTTAGTGACTTTACTACAGTTAGATTCTTTTGAAAACAGAGGTTTCTCTGTTATTGTTCTTTTTTTGATCACTATTAATTTTTTTTTTTAAGACGATAGCAATAAGATGCCATTAAAATATATACTGTATATTATATTAATATGAATTAATTTCTTTTATAAGTACGTGTTTATAAGGTATCCAAAGCTTACCACATATTGGTTGATTTTACTGTGTTTCTTTTGTAAAATAATTTGAAGGGATATTTTTTTGTGTGAAATATAAAAAAATATGTATGTAATATAAAAATAATGAATATGTATAATATATATTTCTTTAAGAAAAATATCTGAAAAAAAACTAAAAGAACAAACCCTTAACTTTTCACATCAAAAAATCAAATTTTTCTTTGTAACATTCTGCTACCATTTTAGTATAACTCAATATAGAATTACATAGTTGCTTCCGAATTTTAAAAAATACAAAATATTATTAATATATTTTCTGATACTAACATGAAAATATTTCAAAATTTAAAACATAAAACAAACACATCCAATTTTAAAGTAGAAAAACAAATTTTCAAATAAGAATTTGTTTTTTCAATTATTTTTTTTTATACTAGTCACAATATATATATATATAATATAATATTATGTTTTATTTATCGCATAAAAAATCAACATTTAATATGCTATTATATTAATTATACAATTTTATATACTCTATCTATATATATATATATATATATAAACTAAAATATTATAAACAAAATATTTGTTTTTAGAGGGGGAATATTGAAAACTTTTATTCAAAGTAAAAAAACTAACACGTTAATATGTTGTTGTGTGAGGCGAGACGATTCAAGGTAGAGTCACGTTCAAACTTGAATTAGCAGAAAGCTGAGACCTATGTGCCGTAGTCTGTAGTTCCTTGCATATCGACTAGTGATGAATCCGAATGCGTTATATTGATGATTGGTTGGGCCGGGCCATCGATGGCCGGCGTACATTGAGGCTGCAGAGATTTCATGGAGCGAGAAAATTGTTCCCATTCAGTTTATGCATGATTTACAGTTTCCGCGGGGGTCCGCTTTCGACGGCGACCAAACTTTTGAAAAACAGTAGCCATGGCGAGAACTAAGATGGCCGCCCGCAAAAGCACCGCCTCTGCCCGGAGATCCTCTGTAGGCGCCTCTGCAACTTCAACTCCTCGGGTACCATTGACGAAATAATTGTTCGAGTTTAATGCTTACTGGATTTGATCTGTTATTTTTGATATACGATGTTCGTCATTCCTTTTGCAGTCATCGGCGCCGAAGACCATCCCGCGCGCTACTCCATCATGTAAGTTGCTCTTACTCGTATAAATTTGTTCTATCCGTCGTGCATTTATCTTCTCTATTAGTGTTGCTAATGAGTTTTACCATGCTCACTTCAATTAACTTCGCTGAAGATGATGATCTAATTGTTTCAGCCAGTAAGAAAGATGGTCAGCCACAGAAAAAGCGGCGAAATCGGCGGGGTACAGTGGCTTTGCGCGAGATTCGAAAATACCAGAAGTCTTGCAACCTTCTACTTCCTGCGGCTCCATTTATCAGAACTGTAACGTCTCACACCCATGCATATTCTTCAATATATTGACTGGAATTCATGCTTTAGGCTAATAATAGGATTGAAGAATTCATGAAATTCGTGTTGATTACAGTCTCTTGAAGACTGAAATCTGGATGATTGTGCTGTTGGCTAACTAACTGAAAGGCTAGGGTTAAAATTTTTGTAGATATTGTAGACTAGGTTACCCTTACATTAGGTTAATTATGAATCATTGGAGTCACCAAATGAGCTAACTGTAAGGCTAATCATCAAGCCATCTATATACGACGTCTATATTTCTTTAAGTGCAATCTTCGTATCCGTAGGTGATTTTGAAAGAAAACTCAACATCAGAAGTAAATCACAATACTGAATTGAGAACGCAAATGCATTCCAAAAAACAGTGAATGATTGTTTGGTAGTAGTAAATGCTGCCACACAAAACAACTGAATCTTATCTAATTCTCCCCAGCTAGCAGCCAATGTCTGTCAGGTGTTACAATAAGCTATTCCTTGAGATTGGGTTTAAATTTCCTATCTACTACAAGCTTTTTATGTAATTAAGTTGAGACATCTTGCTGAATTATGTTTTGATCCGTATCTGCAGTCTGTATAAGAATCTTTAGCTAGTGGTGACAGCATTTTCAGCACCCCATTTTTGTTCAGAAATTAGGTTCCTAATGTAAACTAAGATCTGTTTGTTTCTGTAGTAAATCCATGAATAATATATATCCTACTGTATTAATCCTATCCACATTTAGGCTATGTATATAGCCAACACTTGCTCTTTTGGTTATGCCTGTCTCTCTAGCCAAGCCTTTTTCTTTAAACAAAATATCACAGTTAAGGCCCTAGGCTACAGATATCTTCGATCACCAAACGGTTTTCCTTGTTAATTTGTTCTTGTTGGCTGTGGACTATTTATACTTTATAGACAAATTACGTTCTGGAATGAGATAGTTCTAGGCTAAATCAAGGCATGTTATATTCATGTAAGCCTTGTTACAAATGTTAAATTTTGTACAGATAGCAGCATACATGTTCCATGATTCTCATGTATCGACATGTTTAAAGATTTGCCCTGTGACAGTTTTTGGAGCACAGCTGCTTGTAGTTGCTTATCACTTCTTCAAGAAATTTAAACCACTATCCACTGTAATGTATAGCAGGTTAAAGAGATTAGCTACTCTTATGCACCGAACATTGGACGATGGCAAGCCGAAGCCTTGGTGGCCCTTCAGGAGGTATACAGCTTTAAAATATCTTTCTTTGTTTGATTGCTCTACAAATTTTGGTTTGAACCACAAGAAATCATGTAACATGGCTCCCTTTTATATCATTATTATCACTTTGATTTATGTATATTATATATTGTGTATGCTCTTGCATGCGCATCCTTCACCTAGCTTTTTGTGTTCACTTATATAATTAACATGCATTTTTATGTCTTTAAGTGATCTGCAAGCCTGTTCCCTGCATGGTTAAGTGCTTATTGTATCATGAGATTGTAAAGATATTAAAAAACGAAAAAGAAATAACAGACAGGTCCACATTTTGGCTTTTTGGTTCTGCTAAATCTCACTCTCACCACCATTTTTGCTTCTTTTGACTTGCTGCTGTAGGCTGCTGAGGATTACATAGTTCAGTTGTTTGAAGAGGCAATGCTATGTGCCATTCATGCAAAACGTGTGACCCTGAGTAAGTTACTCCTTCAATTCATCTAAGTTATAAACCTATAGCTAGACTAGGTAATTTGCATAGAATTCTCTCAAGTTTACTTATGGATGGATCCACAATTATATGGATGGATCCACAATTATATGGGAACTTTCTAGCTTTCAATGCTTCAAAAAGGAGATCAATTGAGCTACAAGCATTGAATCTCCTAATGTTGCTAATAGGGCTAAGTAGTCGATAAACAATACAAAAACTTCTAGGTTTGAGTCCAACATCGGCTCCAATCACTTCAATTATTCACACTAACCTAATTACATAACCCTTTTCACTTCATATTCTTTCATTAATTTTATGATGCTCTAAATGATATTCTTCAACTTATTACTGTTCTATCGATTTCTCATGCTCTATTATAATAATCGGTTATTTAATATGGTAGACTGTCTAAACTTGCCTGCCTAATTTCTCAAAAGTGTTCGCAATTATTCACCCCTTGGCTACTTATTGTTCAGTGAAAAAGGATTTTGAACTCGCCCGGCGAATTGGAGGTATAGGGAGGCCCTGGTGACAATATCCCACTATTCTTATATCATTCAAGGTGTTGCCACCCATTCGAACCACCTCTCCTTTGGTTTGGAGGCATCCATTCAACATACAAATTTAGCAGCAACATGTAAATATCACTGTCGGTAGAAAACACCATTGTAGTTGTAATACTAACTTGATTCCCCCAAACGGCATGGTGTCGTAGGTATATTTGTGTTATTAAATCTATGATGAGAATCAAGGCTCATATCGACTGCACAAAGTTGAGCTGGGAGACAGAATTAACATTGTACATGCATTGTGATATCGATATGTATGCATTTTTCATTAGTCAGTGTTGCTGCGCCAAGTTGGACATTCCTGCTAATGGCGCAACTGACGCAGTCATCTAAAACCCTTTGCCAGCCATGTATGTATTTGAAGCCCTTGTCAGGAAGCAGATTAGATCCTCACTTGGTTCCATATTCGGGGCTCTCTTCCAAATGCCTTTAATTCATATATAGATCATATTGTTAATTAGCATATGTAGATGTATGCATTGGCTTTTATTTGAATTTGCAATGCTAACAACTTGCTCTTTCCTCACGCTGAATTCAGGATACTTGTTCGGGTAGTTTCCAGCAATCTCCCTAGTCGAGATGTAACCGTTGGTGCACATAAATCGACCTTTCATTGAAGCCTGGCTCAAGCAGAAGATGTGGGCATTGACCCTATCCTCAATATGGACTATCGGGATTGTTGGGGGACTCTTGTTTTTGGATATATGATTAATGGCTGTGTTTCTCTAACAGTTCAGCTTTTAGGTGAGATGGTTATTCTACATCTGACATGGTATCAGAGCCTAGTGTAATGTGTCTGACACGCCCGGCGCCTAGGCCACGCCCGTGCTGAGGCTCAGGCCAGCCGTCCCTTGTGCACAACACGCCCGTGATATACCATACAATATGGGAGAATCATGCGGAACACGTACCTACGCCAAGATATAGGTCATTAGTCGGCGACAGGGGCTTGCACACAGGGGATGGACTATGGCCGAGAACCAGGGGCGGGAATGTCAGCCTGTGACAAACTCCCCCACTTCAAGTCACAAACGCCCTCGTGCGACGCTACTTGAGTGCATTGACGTTGTTTCTTGCACACTCAGCATGCCTCAAACATTACTCCGTCAACCCTTTTTCCTACATACCCTTCTTTTTGTGTTCACCAACAGCCAGCGAGGTCTTTTTGCCATAATCCATATGCAACCCAAATTCCGCTGCGCATCTCCACATACCATCCGGGACATCCTTTAATGCGGCTTGTGCGATTTTGGCCCGATGATCGTCCTTAATGTGGTTTTTCCCTCACGAACAAAGCTCGGCCCTCTTGGCCCTTTCAGCAATATGGAGCATACTCTCCCTCCTTGGGATGTCCAGTTATCTTAAGACATGCTCTTCCTTGATGTGCTCGGCAACGTTGGACTGTCTAGTTACCTTAGGACATGATCATCCTTGACGTGCCCCCGACATGCTCCTTCTCTCGAGACATGCCCACTTTGTCGCTTCGTTCACCACCAACGTCAAGGTCCGCTCTGATACCATATGTAACGTGTCGGGAAGCTGACACGCCCGGCGCCTAGGCCACGCCCGTGCTGAGGCCCAGACCAGTCGTTCCATGTGTGCAACACGCCCGGATATACCATACAATATGGGAGAATCATACGGAACACGTATCTGCACCAAGATATAGGTCATTAGTTGGCCGTACATGACATGGACTCGCATTGATGATAAAGAGTAAGAAATAATCAGATATGAAATTAGAGAAGAAAGGAGAATTTGCATTTCACATGCAGGACTTTGCTCAATTGACAATGGGGGATCTGGACATGAGAGGGATTAAATACAATTGATGGAATCTAATAAATGGTCCTATAACAAATCAGTATAACAAATTAACAGACTAATGTACACGTGTATAGTCATATCTAGATTTATCCATAATCTGTATCACCACTTAAATTCATTCCTCTGTTGGACCTCCTGCTTCTTGAGTATATTGTTGAATGGGCTTGTTGTAGATGACTCAAGTAACAACTTCATTCATCACGCACACATGGGACGGACTATGACCGAGAACTAGGGGCGTGAATGTTAGCCCGTGACACTAGGCAAGGTCTCGAGTTCGAGCTTTTAGGTGAGATGGTCATTCTGCATCTGACATAGTATCAAAAAGAGCCTAAGCTATGTTTCGAATTCGAGTCCCGCCCGTCCCTATTTGCGGTATATGCATGTGCAAGTTTCGCATACCTTATTTGCATCTGAGGGGGCGTGTTGGGAAACTCCTGTTTGCGTATATATGATTAATGACTGCGTTTTCCTAACAATTCGAACTTTTAGGTGAAACGATCATTCTGCATTCGACAGGAATCTTCGCAAGCAGCTCTTCCAAAAAATTCAGGAGTTTGAGAGATGAACCATTGTTGGTGAGGTGTGCCAAGAGCATGTTCAAGCTTATAGACAAGTGTGCTATATCATAATCCAACATATTGAAATACTCTGTATCATATGCATAGTTTGTGTTATAGATATTGATAGATAGACGGATACAAATACACTATATATTATATGGGTCGAAAAATATAAATAATTGATGAATTTATACTATAGTTGAAATATTTATATTTTCGTGTATTTTATTGTTTCATTTATATGGCAGTTATTATTTTTATATTTTACTTACTAAGAATTATTTATTTTTGTAAAACAAAATATAATTAAGGTTGAATATTATTATGTAATTATCTTTAATAAATTTATTTATTGTAGGATAATCGTTTAATTATTTAATTGATAAGATTTAATTTTTGAATAAATTAAATTCGAAAATTTTGAAACCAATAAATATTCGGTAAATTGAAATGCATGAAGATTGTATAGTGGTTATTAATAGTGTGATTTAAATATATGAATTCCGGTAAACTACAGATGCGTGCCACCCTTTTGAACCAAATAATGACACGAAGAATACATGAGTATGAGTTCTGTTTCAGGTTCAAACATCGTAGTCGCGGTTGTGGGCTTAAGTTTGACATGGTCTATTATGCTCAGGAAGTGTCCGCACTTACCAGAGATAACTTACGGCAGATAGTTAACGTTCCGACATTTGTCGTTTTAGTTTATCCAAATCAAAATTTTTTATTTCTTATTTTTATAAAAAGTAACTTTCAACTACATATAAAAATATTTCTACTTTTTATTTTTCTTATTTTTACTTTTTAAAGGTAATAAAGACATTATATTACTTTATTATACTACATGCCTATAAAATACTATCTCCGTCCGACTCTAAATGTATGCGTTGATTTTTTAATATTAATTATTATATCAAAATATAGTATAAAAAAATTGTAAAAATATTTCTATTAGTGTCTAATACTACTAATAGAATGACATTTATACAATTTTTTTTTACAAATATAAGGATATTTTTAATGTTAAGTACAATAACGTAAAAGGTAAATGTGACCCTTAGAGACGGATGGATGGAGAGAGTATTAATTTATCATGCAAAAGTCAAATAAAAAATTTACCAGTGGATGAAGTAAGTAAATAATAACAATAAAAATAAAAGCAATCAATCTAAGGAAAAACCCCAATAATTATGAATATTTGTTACAAAATACAAAACTTATAATATGGAATTAATCTCATTAATATTATAGAAATACATGGTGGTGGCTACAGCGTTGATTCAACACTGTACTGACAACACACCGCAGCACACGGTGTGCGCTTAGACAACATACGGTGTTACAACAGGCCGCACATAATCTGCATTTATATAATACAAATACAACACATGAACTAACATTACATGCTTAAGTTTTATACAACACAAGTAATACTTGATTTTAGCACACCACATATTGTTATATAGCACACTTGTAATTATGAATCAACAACACAAATACAACATATGAATTGATAGCATATGCTATAGTTTTATACAACACAAATACTAATTGATTTCAGCACACTACTGTTATACAATACACTACAATTATAAAGCAAATCACCTGTCATCATGTTGTGTATAATAAGATTGTGTGCTGTTTTTATATATTACGGGTGCTGACCCTAACCGTTCCCACAAATACATAATATTCAACTTACAATACAAATACTCCTTCGCTCCCACTCCAAACGGGTTTTTTTAAAGTTTTGTATTAAACTAAAAAATAATAATATTTTATTAGTTAGTAAAAGTGAAAATACAAAATACCCCTTTTGTCTCACTCCAAATAAACTTTTTGAGATTTTGTAATAGATTAATAAATAATATTTTACTACATTTGTCCGACTCTAAGGGTCTCATTTACTTTTTGCGTGTTGATATTTGAATATTAATTATTATATCAAAATATAGTATAGATTAAGGAAAAATTGCAAAAATACTTTCATTATGACATTTGTACAAAAAATTATATAAATATAAAGATATTTTTAATATTAAATACAATGACGGAAAAGGTAAATGCGAATCGTAGAGATGGATGGGGGGAGTATCAGTTAATAGAAGTATGTAAGAGCTCTTGATACTTTTGTGTTTTGACTTTATGCATAAATAAATTATATGTATAATAATATGTTTGTAATTTAATTAAAAATTAAAGATATTTTGATATTAATATTGATTATTTTTATTAGAATATAAAAAATAATTTTAAATGAAAAAAGACGAAAACTGTAAAAATAAAATAAAAATTGTTTGAATTGAGACAAAACACTTATTGCTTATATTGAACACGTGCCGATTAAACTTCAATCATACACTGAAAACAATGCGTATTAATTATGTCGCCACCAAGAACTGCATGCATGCATATGAATCATTCAACGTTGTTTGGCCACAGCACCAAGTTTTTTATTTTACCCACACACCGACACAGTTATGACGACCAAACCTTAACCTCAACCATGCTAAAGAGATGACTCAACCTTAACCTCGGCGGAAACAGCACCAAGTTGAACATTCCTAGCGATGGCGCAACTGACGGAGTCATCCAAAACCCTTTCCCAGCCATGTACGTATTTGAAGCCCTTATCAAGAAGCAGAGTAGACCCCCACTTGGTTCCATGCTCACGGCCCCCTTCCAAATGCCTTCAATTCAATTCATTCATTCATTGGCATTTTAATTTGAATTTGAATTTGCAATTTGCAATGCTAACAACTTACTCTTTCCTCACGCTGAATTCAGGATACTTGTTGTGGTAGTATTCCGCGATCTCCCTATTCGAGACGTAACCGTTGGCGCACAAAAATCGACCTTTCATGGAAGCCTGGCTCAAGCAGAAGATGTGGGCATTGACGACATCCTCAATATGGACTATCGGGATCTTCGCGAGCAGCTCTTCCAGAAAATTCATGATGTTGAGAGCGAAAACATTGTTGGTGAGGCGCGCCAAGATCAGGTTCAAGCTTCCCGGCAAGTGTGGATGAAGCGTATCCCCGCCTACAAGGCCACAGGCAAGCGTTACTACCTCCATGTCACTGTCGCCGAAGCTGCTCAAGAGTCCCTTTTCAGCCAGCGTCTTTGCCGTAATATAATCCTATATATATATTGAAATTATCATATGCATATTTTGTTTTTTTAGATGTGTATACAGAAATGAAATGTTGTTGAATTAATTGTTACCACCCACCCTGAAAAAGTCGTTTTCATGAGGAATGGAGTGAAGAATGTTGGTAGCAGTGGTTGACCAGCAAGTCTCATCTATGAAATCATTGAACTCTTGGCCCCCGTTCCCGTCGTCCATCGTCAACTTGATGGGTGAAGCAGCCGTTGCAGAGGCCGTGTAGACAAGGCGTTTAACTGTTCCGGATCTGATGCAAGCCTTTGCTATGCTAAGATCAGCTTCAACCGCAGCATCCACTGCTGCATTCTTGTCCTGTTTATTGTCCATATATATATATATAATAATAATAACCAACCACCCAATTAAGCTGCAATCGATCTTTAGGAATGAACTGAACCACCCACCCACCCAGCTTGCTAGGTAGGTAGGTAGCTACGTACGTACGTACCTCGGGGGCGAGCATTGGCGTGGCGACATGGAATACAAAGTCACAGCCCTGAATGGCTAACTCTAATCCCTCATCTGGTTTCAACATGTCTGCCTCGAATAGCTTTAGCCTTGTTTCTGCCCCCTCAAAGCTCTTCAACATATCAACCTTCCACTTATCTTCTACAAGTTCATACAGTATATATATATATATATGAATGTATATATGTGGTGAAAAAACAATAAGATGATCGACAATGAATATTTAGTTTAAATGAGAGTACCCAAATTCCTTAGGGTTGCATGAACGGTAAAGCCTTCACTCAACAGCTTCTTCACCAGAGAAGAAGCAATGTAACCGCTGCCTCCCGTCACACACACCCTACTACTGCTACAGAACTTTTCACCCATCTTTCGATCTCTCTATTGCAGTTCTTAATAGATAGATAGATAGCTAAATATGGGAGATGGATATTTATATTATTTCAAGTTAAAAAGATGTGGCTGGTATTTGTTTTTCATTTTTTAAATATATATATATATAATTTGAAACCTTAGACAAGCAGGCAAATAATGCAAGGCAGCGGTCCGTAAGAAATGCACTGGAGGTGCGAGAGTTGGACTTGTGTGCCCAGACAACAATTGTGACTAATCAAACATCTAGTATTACTTTTCTTCATAATGTTAGGATATATTATCCCATCAAACTTTTCAATTCCGACCTTTTTGACTTGAATGAATACCATGAGCTTCCGGTAAATCCACTCAAACATGTCAATAATAGGCAAGTCCCTTGCCTCCATAATATATCGATTAAAAGTCTATACATATTGTTCACAATTACTTCGCTTTTGTCCGCACTGGAAAAAAAAGACCCTGCCCAATGATGCTATCTAATGAATGTCGTACCTAAGGATTTGCCTCAAAAAAATTTCATGCTCCTTTAAATTGAATGTCAAAGCTGCCTTACAAAATAAACGCTTTAAAATTAAGGTATATATACTGTGCGCAAATAAAATATGTTCCCCACCGGTGGAACTCGCTAAAAAATTGCCTACACTAAACCTTTCTGCCCGAAAGATATGAATACCGAGTCGCTTATTCTTGCCTCACCCATAAAAGCCGTTTTAAAAAATAATCCCATTCCGTACTTCTCTATCTCAATAAATGCAAATGTCAAAGGGTATATATTACTAATGCACTACCAGACCCAGAATTTTGTGAAATAGCCTCGAAAATTAATTATTTTGGAATCAATTCATAAACTGAAAAAATATATATTATTACTAATATATTTTGATGGTAGGGTTTTGACATCTGAATTACCTATTTTGCCCTTGTCCAAAATGCCGATGGTAGGGTTTTGACAACTGGATTATCTATTTTGGCATTGTCCAAATTTCCTTTCACCCGACCTCCGTATCGGTCGTCTCATCTTTTTTCTCCCAACTTCCTTTCGTCCGACCTCCGTGTCTGCCATCTCATATTTCTTCCCCCGACCTCCTTTTGACGGAGCCGTGTCATCTTTCTTCTGCCAACTTCCTTTTGTCCAACCTCCGTGTCTGTCATCTCATCTTTCTTCGTCCGACCTCCCTCTGCCATCTCATCTCTCTTCCGCCAACTTTCTTTTGTCCGACCTCCGTGTCTGCCATCTCATCTTTCTTCGTCCGACCTCCCTTTGCCATCTCATATTTCTTCACTCGACCTTCTTTTGATCGACCTCCATATCGGCCGTTTCCTCTTTCTTCGTCCGACCTCCTTTTGACCGACAGACCAATCTAGATACTAACTGGTCGCTAGACCAAACGACTCATTGGTCGCCCAATCAAGCGACCACCATCTAGTCCCTTCAATCGGCTGAACAACCATTCGTCCAGACGATTCATTGGTCGCTCAATCAAGCGATCACCATCCAGTCCTTTCAAACCGAGCGACCACGATCCGGTCCCTTCAAACGGCCGAACAACCATTCGTCCAGACGATTCATTGGTCGCCCAATCAAGCGACCACCATGCGTTCCCTTCAACCGACTGAACTACTGTTTGACAAAGTGACTGCCCAATCGATCAGGCGACTGACAGGTCGCTTAATTAAGCGACTAATTAACAGACATTTCTTTCAAATGGGCCCTTAGAAGCCCACTTTCCTCTTGCCCGACCTCCGGTTCTCTCATCTTTCTTTGTTCGACCTCCTTTTGACCGACCTTTGTATCGGCCGTCTCATCTCTCTTCCCCGACTTCTTTTTGTCGGACCTTCGTGTCTGTCATCTTATCTTTCTTCGTTCGACCTCCTTTTGACCGACCTCCGTATCGGCCGTTTCATCTCTCTTCCCCCGACTTCTTTTTGTCGGACCTCCTTGTCTGCCATCTTATCTTTTTTCGTCCGATCTTATCTTATCCGACCTCCGTGTCTACCCTCTCATCTTTCTCTTCCCCCGACTTCCTTTTGTCCGACCTCCGTGTTTGTCATTTTATCTTTTTTCGTCCAACCTTATCTTGTCCGAACTCCGTGTCTGCCCTCTCATCTTTCTCTTCCCCCGACTTCAAAAATTGTACTCAAGGTAATACTATATTTCAAAAAAGAAAATTATATTGGAAAAACTCAAATAAAAAAAAATAAATAAATAATTATGTGATCAGTTTGAAACATCCCCAGAAAGCTTAGAAAACAAAAAAATAGTGGGACCAAATATATAACACAAAATTATTTGATTAATAATAAAATGATGACTGGATTAAATAAATAAATATATATATACACATATACGTACAATTTAGGGTGATAAAAAAAAATGGCTTTCCTGGATGTATTTATACGATCATTTGGATTTTGAGTTGAGATTTAAATAGTAAAAATTTTGAATTTGAATAGTTGTATTATGTAATGTAAATAGGTGTTGATGTGATGTTTTGAATATAAAATTAATTTCTAGTATAATATAAAAAATGAAAGATAGATGTTTGATTGATATTTTTTAAGGAAAAAAATAAGATAAATAGTGTATTTAAAAATCCAATACCAAAACAAACACATCCTTAAGAAGATTTGCCCAGATTTGGTCGAAGACCTTATTACACACTTAGGGTGTGTTTGTTTGAGGGTTTGGATTTTGGATTGGGATTTGAATAGTAAAAATTTTGAATTTGAATAGTTGTATGATGTGATATAAATAGGTGTAGATGTGATGTTTTGAATGTAAAATTGAATTTTTAGTATAATATAAAAAATAAAAAATATGTACTTAATTTGATATTTTTTTGATAAAAAAATTAGATGAATAGTAAATTTAAAATACAATCCTTTAAACAAACACACCCTTAAAATAAATAAATAATTACTGTGTATTATCAATTCATCATGTCAAAATTAAAATATTAATTATTAATTAAAATATATTACTTAATTCCACACTTTTGAAAAACAACACTTTTAATTTTCAAACTACTCCCCATAACCATAAATTTTAATATTCACCCCAATGGTCAAGACAAAAATCTAATCTAATATATATATTTTGCGTTGAAAATTTGTTGCCACGTGGCAACACATAGTTTTTTTTAAAAAAAAATTCTTTGTAGGTCTCACCAACGTTTTTTAATTTTTTTAAAATTTTTCTTTGTAGGTCCCACCATCACTTTTCCTATTTTTTAAATTTTTCTTTGTGGATCCTACCACAAATATATATTTTTTAATCTTTTTCTTTGTGGATCCCACTATTTAAATAGTAAAAAAAGAAAAGAAATGTAAAATAATAATAATAATAATATAATATTATTTATTTTATTATTTTAATAATAAAACAACTTTAATCTAATAACAATTATGTATAACAATGTGGCCTTATTTATGTGTTATTTTTTTTTAGATATATGTAATATTAGAAAGATATATATATATTAAGAAGATGATAAATTAAATTTTTGGTAATAACATATAAAATAGCCAATATAAATATATCGTTTAATATAGGATAAACAAGTAGATTATACACTATTTTTTAGTTTTTTCGTTGATATGTTATATTATCTGAGCATAAAAAGACTAAAAAATAATGATAATAAAATTATGGGTGGATAATTTTGTAATATAAATGAGTTATGCATAAGTTAATAGATAAAAATACAGCATAATATCCCTAATGAAAAAATTATTTTATAATTTAATTATATTAAAATGACAGTGACAAGTTAATGAAATTTTGACTTTAACTCTGATAAGCTATATCTTAAATTTTCTACCGACACAATTTTCAACTGAATTAGATTAATTTTAAAAATTGATTATAAAAATATAAATAAATACAAATAATATTATAAATAAATATTATTTTTGCAATATTTATATTTAATAGATAGAATTCATCAATTTCCAATACTTAAAATATTAAAAATTAATCGTGGTAAATATTTTAATTTATTAAAATGATTCTCATATTAAAATATTATATATTTAACAACAACAATTAATTTTCACCCTTCAATAAAATTTATATCTCCCCGTGCATAGACCTCTACGCTAGTAAATTAAATAAATAAACATGCATGCACTTGAACTTAATTCACTGCACTATATATATATATATATATTAATTATTAATTAAAATATATTACTTAATTCCACACTTTTAATTTTCAAACTACTCCCCCTAACCATATATTTTAATATTCACCCCAATGGTCAAGACAAAAATAAATTAAATAAATAAATATGCATGCACTTGAACTTAATTCACTGCACTATATATATATATTAAATTAAATTAAATAATTTATCATTTCTCTTGTGATTGTATTTATATATATATATATAGATTATTATAAGTACAAGGAACGTTCCATTATGTGCTGAATAATCAGAGATCTACAGGATATGATAGATTATCATTTAATTAATTAATTATATATTAAACTGCTGGAGATTGGAATGGACACCTGAAAGCATGCAAATATATTTTATTATTCCATTATCTAAACTAATTAATTAATATATTTGGTCTAGCGATTAGTTAATTCTTTGGTTGCCCAATCAAGCTATTACCTGGTCCTTTCAATTGGCTGAACAACCATTCATTCAGACGATTCATTGGTCGTCCAATCAAACGATCACCATCCAGTCCCTTCAAACCGAACGACCACGATCCGGTCCCTTCAAACGGCCGAACAACCATTCGTCCAGACGATTCATTGGTATCAAGCAACCACCATGCGGTCCCTTCAAGCAACTGAACTACTGTTTGATCAAGTGACCGCCCAATCGATCAGGCGACTGACAAATCGCTTAATTCTAATCAACAGACCTTTCTTTCAAATGGCCCCCTAGAAGTCCACTTTCCTCTTGTCCGACCTCCGGTTCTCTCATCTTTCTTCGCCCGACTTCCTTTTGACCGACCTCCGTATCGGCCATCTCATCTCTCTCTCCCGACTTCCTTTTGTCAGACCTCCGTGCCTGCCATCTTA